ATGGCGCTAAATGACTTCATTTACAGACGTCCATTGACCCAGAAGCTTTAAAGGAAGTGATCTTCATCCGTGAGAGACATTTCGCACGTTACAATTCGAAAAAGATTCCAAGTGTCGTATAAGACCGCGGTATCACACTTGCAAGCTCGTTGCCAATCGATTTGGTGCAGAAATCTCCACCTTCCGTCTTCGGAAAGGTCACCTCCGCACATCGTCCACGGGACGGGCCTGGAATCATCGAATTGAAAGCACGCCAAGATCGTTCATTCGTCTGCAGGGCTCCTCATAGGCACTTACCCCATCTTTTGCGAGACACTATTGTCATGCCAGTACCATGTAAGTGTTCTAAACCTTCCAAATCTGTGGAAAAAAGCACATTTTTTCAGACATAGATTTCTATTGGCAAGGAACCGCACTGGCCCCCATTTACAATGTTTGACCTCAAGCATGGTAATGATGTTTGCTTACGTGGCGCCTCCTATAGCTGAGAAGACTTTCGACCTTCAATACTCCCTTCCAATGACGAGAAAGGACAAAGCAAACTACGATACTCTTCCAGATACAACTTTAGACGACGACTTGGACTTCTTCAATAGTGGTATGGCTGGCACGGGCAACTCCAGCCCATTCATCAAGGACGAGCCAGAGGACTTCAATTACCTCTCGCACAACTTCTCGCCCAACCAGCGGAGCCAGAACATGAGCTTCGGACAGCAATTCGGTCAAGGCTCCACAGGCGACATTGATCCTTCGGATCTTGCAATGCCTAATGGTAATTACGGCCAATACGGCTCCAGTTCTCAACAGACCATGTCAAATAGTATGACCTTGGCCCACTCAGGCATTGGCGACGATGAGCTTCTGGACCTAGATCTTAATGAAACCTCGTACCAGCCCAATCTCCAGAATGGGCAGCATGGGTTTGGAGGTCAAGGCAACATGCAGAACTTCTACCCAAGCCAGAGTCATCCGGTATCCATAAACACGAACGGTCACAGCCAGATGAACCAGATGTACTCCAATACGCCTGACGGTGGCCCAATCCATAGCCCATTCACACATGATAACTTCAACTATGCTCAGTTCGCGCAGATGCAGTCACACATGCGTCCGAACGCCGTCAGTACCAACAATTTCAACCACGGTCAGTCTGGGTCTTACATGAGCCAGCCCATGAATCGACAAGCATCAGACTCAAGAAGCCCAATGACGCCCAAAACCCCGGGCGGGGACCACCTGGACCACATACACTTGGGTACCCCTGAGTCTGGAAGCCTGCCAGCGCAGCCCCTGAGCTACAATCGGAAGAGTCTTTCAGGCCAGTATGATAGCACACCTGGCAGCATCCAATCGTACAACCTTGATTCACCAATGTCTTCCCCAAGTCATCCTGCGAGCCACGCTCAGATCTCCGAGGTCTTGAAATCTGGCAAGCATGCCTCACTACCTGCGAAGGTTGAGAATGGCCATCACCCAGCCCCGGCTTATCAGAGCCAAGAAGCCAAGCGTCGTCGACGTCGTGAATCTCACAACATGGTGGAGCGTCGCCGCCGTGACAACATCAACGAGAAGATCCAGGAGCTTTCTCACCTAGTTCCCATGCATCGTCTCGAGGATGAGAAGGTCCGCAAACACATCATGAACAATTCTCCTCTCTCGCCCACCCTTACTGCTACCGGCCGAAGCCCTCCGCAAGCAACATCTTTGCTTGCAGGAGGTGGTCGTCGTGCCACGGGTGGGGGCAGCATAACTATGGGCATTCCACCAGAAGAGAAGGATAAAGGTCCTAACAAAGGCGACATTCTCAACGGTGCCGTTAGCTGGACTCGCGATCTCATGTGGGCACTGCATGTCAAGATGCAGCAAGAGCAGGAGCTCGCGGACCTGATCGCACAACTTGGAGGCCAGTTTCCTTTTTCTCAGTCGGACGACGAGAGGCGCATGCGCACCGAGCTTCTGAACGCTATGCAGGAAAACGACCCAAACACATTCTCATACACGCGCACGGCCGGTAGTGGGCTGAGAGTGCCACAACACACCAACTCAGCTGGTGACCCTCTTGATCCAGCCGCTATGGGCACCCTGAGTCCTCAGAGCCTAAGCCCTGGTCAGCAGTCTGGCGGTGCCGACCACGGCCACCAACAATACTGGAACCCGTCCTTCAAGGAAGAAGACGAGTACGGGATGGAGATGAACTGAGCAAATTGTGTCACATCAACAAGTTGTTTTGCAACCCTAGCACCCTTGCTTCCGCGGCGGCATTCCCCTGGATCACCTCATCTCCCCGGGTCTGGCACTTTCGCTATCTCAAGGACAGTCCCTTGGATTACATCATACCCCCAAGTCGGCACATATTGCTACCCTGTGCGTTCCCTTGGATTTCGATTCTTTCAGAATACGTTTCCCCTTATTGCATTGGCGAGGCGAGTTGGGTGGCTTTGTTCACGGCGGCAGAGGCGTCTGGGAGGGAAACTTTTCATATACCACTATCGTTTTTTCCATCCAGCATACAGCATGGCGCTATGAATTCAATGCGAGCGGTTATCGATATACCAATTTGAGAGAGTGTGACTGTTGATGGGTCTGGCTCTGCGAACTTGCGTTTGCTTGCGCTTTGAGCTTACCGTAGCTATCTAATATTCGCTTCGATGCTAGATCTTTCCCCCCAAGACATTTATTACCACACATAACCTCAACACGTGCATATCCATAACTGATCTTCCACTCCCCTGTCGCACATCCAACCTTGACTGGCTGCAGAGAAACAAGACCTTTCTATCGGAGGTGGGTGCGCTTGTTGATCCACTCGCTACTGCGTTTTCCGCACAATCGAAGCGGAATCGTTGATGCTCGAGAGGGGGACGGGTGTCTGATCGAGAGGGGGGATATGAAGGTTGGTTTTGGGCTTTGGATAGGCGGGTTTCTGACCGATCGGTCGGATTCGTGGGAGGGGGGTTAGAGTTTGAGGGGCAAGAGCTGAGGGAGGCAGGGTAAGGTGGGTATGATAAGCTTGGGACTGGAGAGTCCTGTGGAATGGTGGAACAATGCCTGTGTCAAAGTGTCTTGGGGCGTTCTTCGGTTCTTCATTGCCGTCATTGCTATGTGTCAATCGTTGGGCTAAGTTGCCCTTGCTATGCTACTTGCAAGTCTTGTAGGGTAAGAAGTTATGTACATGCTTGGTGGAAATCATCCGCTATCTCACGCTTCCTAGGTCTCTCAATTCTTCCCGTCCAGATCGGTGTAGAAGTTCCAGCCGAAATTCCCCGACGGGTCATTGAAACGAAGCTTCTTATCGATCGTGTTGAGCTTATCCAAATCCTCCTTCTCCAGCTTGAAATCCCCCGCCAGATTGCTTCGAATCCTCTCGGGCGTCTTGCTCTTCGGCAACACACTGTGTCCGTGGGCGATCCCCCACGCCAAAGCAACCTGCGCGCCATTCTTGCCGTACTTCTTGCCAATCTCGGTAATAGTTGGGTCGTCGATCAGCTTTCCCATGTCCTTGCCGGAGCTGTAGATAGCGTTTTGATTGCCAAACGGCGAATATTGTTGTATGTGGATGCCTTTGCTCTTGTGGAATGCGGCGAATGATTGCTGTTGCAGCCAGGGGTGGCATTCGATTTGGTGCGCCGCGGGGACGACGGTGGTTTCTTTGAGAAGGCGCTCGAGCTCTGCTTTGCTGAAGTTGGAGATGCCGATTGCCTTTGTCTTGCCACTCTTGAGAGTTTTCTCCATAGCGTTCCATGTGTCAACGTAGTCCGTGTCGCCTGTTTCAATCTTGTCGTTTTTCTTGGGCATGAGGGTATCGCCTCGGGCGAAGGGCTACATTATAGTTTCGGAGTCAGCATTACCTATCCGAGAGGGTATGTTGAGCCTTGGAAAATGTCTACAAAGTAGACATTCTCAAGACCTGTCTCAAGGCTCAAGATCTGGTCCAGAAGAGGAAATATGAACTCCAAAAAATACGTACAGAAGGCCAGTGCATGAGGTAGAGATCTAGGTAGTCTGTGCCCAGGTCTTTGAGGGAAGCATCAAGGGCGGGCTCCACATCGTCAGGGTGGTGGCTGTTGTTCCACAGCTTAGTCGTGATGAAGATCTCGGAGCGAGGGATACCAGATTTTTTGATGGCAGCACCGACGGCGGGCTCGGTGCCGTAGATACGAGCTGTGTCAATGTGTCGATAGCCTGCTTTCAGGGCTTCGGTGACGGCGTCTTCTTGGGCGCCAGCATCTTGCCAGGTTCCGAAGCCAACGGCCGCTGCGATTGTGTTTAGTAGGGGCCCATTGAAGAGTGAGATTGGGAGGAATCGTACGGATTTCAGCGCCTGTGTTGAGCTTCTGTTTGGTGTGGAGGCTTGCCATTGTGCTTGCTTTGCGAGAGAACTGGTTTGATGAGCAATGGGTCGAGAGTTGTGTAAGTCTTGAAGATGCAATCTTGGATGTTCGAACAAACATTAATACTTTTGTGTATACTGTGGCGGGGATGAGTAAGTAGTCTTCAAGTCACGATGCAAACTGATTAAATGTACGAGTAGAAACTCAATGTAACCAACGGTGAGCATTGACGTCAGCCATGCACATGTACGTCATCCATCTGCCGAGATATCTCCGGCGCAGAACCAAAACATCGGAGGGGGACTCCCACCCCCCGTTGTCGCTAATTCGAACATGAGACATTTCGCGCTATCGCTGATCGATGGACAGAGCAATTGATTTGCTTGAAAATTCCAGGCCATCTCAACTGTCTCGACCATCAATGAACGCCACACGGTCCGAAGGATCGGCAATAGATGTGGCTGTGCTCTGCCAAGGAAAGCGGGTATGTCGATCACCGAATCTTGGAAAGCGAGTCATCATTTCCTGCCCCCAGCTGTTGTTCTTAACCCACCACTCGCGTCTCATTTTCCGTGTCTCTCTTTTTGTTCGTCTATATACGCTCACTTTTATATTTGTAGATACCCATTATTGTTCTTGCGCCTTAACAATTCCAGCTATTCGCCCACAATGTTCAAATCAACTCTCGCTATTTTCGCGCTCATGTCTTCCTCGATAGCAGCTCCCGCTCCCGAATTCATTGTAGAACGTCATATAGTGGAGGTATACAAGCGCCAGGCTGATATCTCGCAATTGCTAGAACTGTAAGTCCTTCTGTCACCTCAATTGCCCTTTCACAACTCACCTCCCACGCAGCGCGTCTCTAGCAGGCGTAACAGCCCTCCCCACCGACCCCGCCGTCCTCCTCCAACTCGGACCCCTCGCCAACTCTCTCGCCTCTGCCCTCCCCACGTCCTCTGTCCTCAACGTCCTCCTCACCGCCGCTCCCTCCGGCTTCGTTTCCTCTATCGTCAACGACCCCTCCTATGCCAGCTCCTTCGAAAGCGCTTTCTCAGCCGGCAACAGTCCCGCATGGTTCAACTCATTACCCACAAGCGTCCGCAGCTATCTGCATACATATTCCGGGTTTGGAGGATTGGCGGGTGCTGGGGCCGCGATCAAGAGTGTGACAGCTGATGTGGCCAATGGCACTGTTGCGGCTACGGGGAGTGGCATGTCTAGTGGCGGTGCGAGTCCGACGACGCAGAATTCGGCACAGAGTGTGGCCAGTGTTTCTAGTGCTTCGGCTGCTTATGTGGCAGCTGTGGATGCGACGTCGGCGGGTGCTACAGAGGGTAACACGGCATCAGCTCAGGCTGGGACCGCGAGCAGTTCGAAGGGCGGTGCTGCACGTCCTACTGGAGCTGTTGCTGCTAGATTGGCTGGTGTGGTTGGGTTATTGGGAGTGGCTGCTGCTCTGTAATTTCGCCATTGGAAAGGTGATTGTGCATAACGAGGACTTTCATGATGGTAATACGAAGAGCAAAGAAAGGTCATTTGTCGATACTTTTGATGGCAGAACCTGCGAACATGAAAGATTTAGTGCACAGCTGCGACAACCCACATCCAGTTATCAATACCAATACCAATACCAATACAGCCTTGCGTACTCGATTCTCTTTGACTGCGTCAATTCGCGCCAGTGCCCCTTTCCTTCTCGCACAAAGAGCAGAAGATGCTGTGGTTCCCCCGTCCAATTTCTCGACCTTTTGCCTATACCCTCGACATTTCTCCTATTTTCTGATTTCCTCGTTGGCCGCCCTTCTTCGGATCCTTCTCGCCCTTCAGCTGCAAGGCTACCACACCCAGACGCCCTTCTGCAGAGATGGACGGACGCTTGCCTAAAAAAGTTCAGCGCATGCAGGATTCTGCAGCTGAGGTCAGGTAAGTAAAAGAAAAGTCAAATTGATGAAAAGAATTATGCACTACCAGCGCGCTTCGTCCCTTCGACGGCCTCGCGGCTCCTAGCGCTTCCTACCAGCAAGACTATATTGCTTGCCCCTTTCATAATTATACAGCTATCAATGAAGGGAATTTTGGCGTCCAGACGCTCGACGTTGGTGGTACTCCTGGCGCTGGAGGACTACCAGGCCAACACAGGCTTCAGTCGATACGCTACCTACGTTGGCAATGGTCCTCAACCTGCTCTGGACTCTATTGACAGCCTTGCAGCTCCAAGTGCAGGCTATGTCAAAGGTAACCGAACACTGCAGAACGCGGTCCCTGGCTTCGGTAGCCCCAATGCCGTCTATGATAATGGACCCTGCTACCCCCTCAACGACGTCGTTGGCCCTAATGTAGACTACGATCATGGCAACAACGCTGTTCAAAATACTGGGTATGGCGGTAACCCTGTCAACGAGATTTTGAACCCTTTCGGCACCACCACTGCTCCCAACATAGTCTATGACGGATGCAACAACACTGCCAATGATGCTTTCAACCGTGACTTGAGCCCCTTGGGTGGTCTCACCGTTTCCATTGGAGATTATGGTCAAGGGAACTATACCAGTGAAGGTGGTACCTACAGCGGACTCTACCCCGTCTACGACATCGGTGCTACAGGCGCAGTCTACGATTAGGGCAACTCCACTGGACTTGCAAACCATGCTGGCAATGTCAACAATAGCCTTCGTCGTGTTGACAACATCTTTACTCCCTTCGCAGTCTGTAATCAGGGCAATTATGCTGGGCCCGCTCCCTACGCTGGCAATGTCGACCAAGGGTTCTATCCTGTCGACAACATCAGTCCTTCTAATGCAGTCTACGATCAAGGCAATTACGATGGGCTTGCTCCCTATGCTGTCAAATGGGCTCTATCTTGTTGACAGCATCAGTCCTTCGAATGCATTTCACGATCAAGGCAATCTTTCCGGACTTGCACCCTATGATGGCATGGTCGACCACGGGCTCTAATCTGTCAACAGCATGGCTACTCCCAGTTCATTTCGCCTTGCGAACAATAGCATCAAGTTCGATCCCAATGCCGCCAACGTTCTTGACGGCCTTTTACCTTCCAATCACCTCAGTAATACTGGCGTTGCCTACGACGGCGGCAATCACGGCATGCGGGATTATGGCTTTGGCTCCCAGGCCTCAGGCCTGACCCCTGCTGTTGACAACACTCCCTCCCCATCAATCACCTCTGGCTCCAGGGTGGACCTCCAGGGCCGCCCTCGCCCCGCCGGCGTGGATCACCATGGATGATTTCGCTGGGCCTGCGACAGGTGCGGCAAGACGTTCGGACGACCATCAGACGTGCAACGTCTGGCCGAGAAGCACAGTGGTGTGCTCCAGTATCAGTGCAATGTGACAGGTTGCGCGTATCCTCGCAGCTACTGCCAGGATAAGTTGGAGCAGCACAAGAGGGACTGCCATTGGCGAGCCCGCCGTAAGAAGGGTGGTTTGGAGTGTGTGGTTGGGGGAGGGTGTTCCATCATTCTCAGGAATATCAGGACGTTCATGCGAAGAGCAAGGATATTGCATTTGTCGACACCAGGTGGAATAGCGTGTGAGCATGCAGGATAATGTAAACAACTTTACACTTATCCAATCTAGTGCCTAGGTTGCTCATCTAGCCTCATTTTTTCACAACTGATACACAGATCTCCCGTTAGATGTTCTTCTTCCGAAGGCAGGGCGCCCCTCTTCGATGCCATGTCTATAAGATGCCTCTTCCCCCCGTCTCCTTTCGAATTTTTTACACATCATTTTCATGCACTCGGCCCCTTTTCCTCAAGGCTGCCAGATCTCAGAAGCCTCATTGGCCGCCCCTTCCCACGAATTACCGCTATTCTTCCTGCACGGCAGCGGGACTTGTTTCAGCCATGCAGAAGGGCGCAGCCTATCCTGGAGACGCTCCTCAACACCATGCATATGATTTGCATGGAGTTGGGTAAGTTAAAAAAAAAAGGGCTAATTCTCGCTTAAGCAGCGAGTCTAAGAACGATGCGAACCACCGCAATGACCGTCACTACTGTGCTGGCAACCTCACTGCTGCCAATGCAGTCCACGGTCACGGCAACCACGCTGTCCACTCTTTGGGAACGTATGACCACGCCGCCCGAGCCGGACAGGATCCTGGCTTCGCCTTCTCTGCTAACGAAACCCACGATGGCCTCAACTCTCTCCACGCCATCGCTGCTCGTGGCGTAGCGTATAGCGACAACACCTACAGCGGTCCCGGTGTGGGTATCAATCATGTCGAAGCTGGCTTCTCCCCATACGACAGCTTTGCTGCTCCTAGCTTCAGCAGTCGTGCCTTTCAGAATGCTACGGTTAATCCATATGCCAATAACATCAATGACGGTATCTACGCTCCCAGTAACGATGGATACAATGTCGAAGCAGGCTTCTCTCCATACGACAACATTGCTGCTCCTAGCTTCAGCAGTGGTGCCCTTCAGAATGCTACGGTTATTCCATATGCCAATAACATCAATGGCGGTATCTACGCTCCCAGTAACGTCGGATACAATGTCGAAGCAGGATTCTCTCCATACGACAACATTGCTGCTCCTAGCTTCAGCAGTCGTGCCCTTCAGAATGCTACGGTTATTCCATATGCCAACAACATCAATGGCGGTATCTACGCTCCCAGTAACCTCGGGCACAATGGCAACGACTACCTTGGTCACGCTGTCGGCAATGTCACTGCCCCTGGCGCCTCCGTTCAGAGCGCCCGTGCTGCTGTTCCTCTTCAATTTGGTGATGGCGCCTATCCTACTGGTAACATCAACGCCAGTTTCTACCCGTCCAACAACGCCACCGTCATCGGGCTGGTCGATGGCAGCGACAAGTTTGGCACATACGACGCTGGCTTTGGTGCTCAGTCCTCCGATACGACACCTACCATGAGCAGCACCCTCCCGCCTTCCACTCCCGGCCCGGTTGTCGGACCCAATGGTCGTCCTCGCTGGGCTTGTACTGGATGCGACAAAACGTTCACACGACAAGCTGACATGGCACGTCACGCCAAGAAGCATAGTGGCGTGTTCGAGTTTCAATGTGATGTCGCGGAGTGCAGCTACAGAGGCAGCTATCGCCAGGACAAGTTGGACCAGCATAAGAAGAACTGCCATTAGCCAGGGCCAAGATCCCGCAGTAGAAAGGGAAGGAGATTCGATGTCAGTTGGATGAGTGTCTCGGGGGATTTCGTTATCGTTTCTGTTTTTCTTTTTTTCCTTCTTTCTTTGGCAAAAAGTAGAACGAGTAGAAAAGGAGGAGATAGCAATTCTAGAAACTTATCCGGCATTCGAGTTCCACTGTGCTCTTTCGGCTTTCTCCAACAAATCCTACAAAACCCTTTAGGCTTGCGCTGTTTCTTTCAGTCTTCCGCTGATCCTTTTCAGAAGTGACTCCTACGCGCATCGAAAATGCACGCAATCAACTCAACCACTTTCCCCTTGCCCTTCCAGACTCCATCTTGACCCCTGCGATCACTGGGATTCCGAAACGAGAGGAGTCACGTTCGTGCCCCATTGGAATCGTCTTGGTAAATCAGTTTCGAGCAAATATTTCCAGCTTGGACACACCCTCAACTTACAATTCTGGCACGGCTTCTCCGCGAACGTCGCCCTCTGAGGCAGTGAGGGGTGTGTTTCCTAGCGCCAAGTCAGCCACGAGTCTTCCATCTTTGCACGATTCACTGCTATCTTACCCGACTACCCTTACTGGAGGTTGGCGCCGAGAGTGGGAGAACATGCCCGAGGAAGCGAATGGCGAGCTAGAGTGCTTTTGCGAAAAGGTCGTCCAAGATGTAGTCGACAATCCGCAAGATGATGGTCATAACGACGGTAGCTATGCCGAATTTCAAGCATTTCAACATCGTAGCGAGTGAAGTGTTTGGTGAGGATGAGGGGTATGGAGAAGAGTGAGAAGATGGGAGCAGCAATTTGGACCTTTATATGTGCGAGGAAAGTACCCAGGCCAAGGCTGAGGAAGAGATGCGGCGTCGAGAAGGAGGCATCATGCGCTTGAAACTATTCAAACAAGGCGACATGCCAGATCTGAAGCCGGGGCAAGCCGGGATGAATCTTCGATGCAGAGGTAATTCGTAAGATGTGCTTGTTTCAGAGGAGGCAGTTGTTCCGGACTTCCGTGTACCTCAGCCTGTGCAGAAACCAGCTCAGGTACCAAAAGCTCCACTACACGATTTTCCTTTCACACCACGATCAATTACCTCGCCGCATTGACTGCCTTTGTGTCTCACCATACGTATCCAAAAACAGGCCCAGAAGCAGCTAACCGCCGGCCACCTTGCCCCTTCCCTTTCCGTGTGCCGGCGCTGACGCATCCTCCATTGTGGAAACTTGGGCGTACACATAAAGCGGCCCGCGGCTTTGGTGGCTTCATGGGGCGAGCTGCGGCTGGTATCGAATGGATTGCTGTCAATCGTAAGTTTCGGGAAAGGCATACAGCCCGAGCCAGCACTGGGCGATTTGACCAGCTCCAACGAATCCCTCCTGGCACAAGAAGGACGGCTGTCAGCCTCAGGACTTGGCCAGGTGGCGGCAGAGCCTGTCTCAAGTAGTGTCATGGCCGTGCCTGTTTGCCGTAAGTTTCGGGCAAAACGATAGGTCGTGACCTCAGACTGCCCGGCTCAGGACCATGACCCCTTTGAGAAATAGTGATTGGACATCCGTTTCAGATAGCGTTCCCGAAGTTTCTGACACTCCAGGCGGTATGGAAGACATTCATCTCAGAGCTCCCAACTCCCTCTTTCGTATTATCTTTCCCGATCATAACACCTCAACCTCACCACAACTCTCCCAATCTTGTACGGCCTCAGTGGGCAACCTCCGCGAGAAATGTCAAAGTATCCCGAAGTTCAAGTAGTCCTTGGGTACGAAGCCCCCTCAACAGACCCTCAGACAGAAAATGGTATGACTGACAACTGAGAACAGATGGGAACCAGCCGACGCGAGCACACAACCCTTGGAAGATTACATGTATCGTTGGGGAGAATCCACACCAGATGTGTGCACACAATTGCTTTCCCACTCGGATACAATGCTGACTCTATTCCTTAGCCAGCGTTTGAGGATGGCAAAACCGCCTTTTGCGTCTACACATACGAGCAGCCAAATGACCTTGAATCCGTAATATCGCAGAGCTTCAGGATCCTGCGGACAGTATTGGACATGTAAATGGCCGTTCACCTGTTGATAGCACACGCCTGGGTACACGCTTGTTAATAAATCCAAGGGAACCAAATATCCACTTCCGTGGCATGGTAGTCAAGAAAGAACGCCTGGAGGGTATCCACCGGGAGGAGTCGGGCAGTTACAGTAAGTTTCCTCAGGAAACAGATGTCGGCAGAGCTGACTGGCGATGATTGTAGCATTGCAGATGATTGATGAAAAGAACCATCGACGGACGCTAGACTTCGGCAAGATCAAAGAAATCCCCTGAGATCAATGAATCCCCTGAGACCAACAAATCCCCTAAGATCAACGAATTCCCTTAGTGTGCTATACGCAGTGGAAACAATGGATGGACATATCGTGCGAGACTGTGTTTCCTTCATATCGTCAGTCATTACAATCAGGGAAAGAAGTCTCATATCCTGTTCAGTCACTCATTAGCATAGACATAGGCTCAAAGATGTTCACCACAATAAACATTAATCGTGGATAGTCATGACTGCATGTCAGCTAAGTTACACAGACTGGAGTCTCGCATAATGCAAGTTCAACACATCCTGTGCTGGGGAGGCCTCCACGGTACACCTAGTAACTCAAAGATCTTCTTTTCGTCCTTGCCCTCGACCAGAGTACCTTGAGTAATCCTCTCTCTATTCCAGCCTCGAACGACATCCTTCCACAGCCCACGTTGATTGAGACGCATGCCCTTCTTGCTTGCCAGTAGCCGTATGCTCCTGTTGAAGATATCATTGCCAGTAAAGTAGATCAAGGCAGCACCAATCTCATCCCACGGCACCAGCAGGAAGTCGATTCGCCGCCAAATGGTGGTGCCTGGCAGAGCTGCAGCCCCGTGCCATTTGCTACCGTCGACCTTGTCCGTGGTAGCGAGTCCGACTTTGAGATAGCCTTTGTCGAAAAGCTTTGGGATAACCCTGTCAAGTATTATGGTGCGGAGGTTTTTGATGGTGGCATCTGGCTTCGTGACAATGAAATCGACATCCCCGGAGTCCGCAGCTCCACGACGGTACGATCCACCTATCGTGAACTGGACAGTATTATCGATCTTACTGCAAATCTCTCGAACGTACTGATCATGCCGGTCCGCTTCTGCGCGCGGTATCCGGGTCTTGAAGTCTTCATAGTGAGCAATACCTATCTTCTGATTCTTGGTCAGGTGAGCTTTCTCAAGAAGCTCCGGTATAGATTTGTGGCCTTGGTCAATCCATTTAGTTGCTTGCTTGAGCCCAACACCATAGATGCCCATAAATAGCTGCAGGACTTCAGCGTTTGGATCGAGACTCGTGTTGTCAAGACGTCGGAGTTTGTTAGTCCAGACAATCTCTTCGATCTTAGAGGCCAGTCTTTGTCCAATAAAGGGGAGTGCAAAGGCCTGTTCCTCCGTCGTGATCTTCCGTGCTTGCTTTCGGAGAGCAGCAATGGCTCGGCGGTAGGCAGTAAGCCTCCAGTGATCCTGGTCACGTTCGTAGTAGTCGGCCATCTGCTGTAAAACCTCGATGGTTCTGGCGTTTGGATTTGCTGAAGTTCCAACCCCATCGTGTTTCGACATGCAGCTGAAACTCTCCTGCCACGACTTATTGAATGATCCTTTCTTTGACTTTGTCTTGCGCTGTTTCTCCTCTTTGCTATGCTCGTTCTCCGAATCATCGAGAATTGCACTTTCTTCAGGATACTCGTCTTCATCCATGTCGAGGGGCTACAAGACGGTCAGTGCATATTCTGCGTGTTTAAGACTGCCGGTGCTCACGAGGTCTTTAGTTGCCTGAGCCTCCGCGATGGCTTTATCTAAGTCATTGTGAGGGCACGCATGTGAGGGCATCGTAATCATTTGAGGGGATGACGACTCCGCGAAATCGGCATCGACGGACACACGACCCGAGGAAGTCAGCTCACTACCTTCGGTTCGCGAAGGTGTCTGTGGTGGCGGTAGACGCTCCTGTTTTTCTGCCCTTAGCTGTAGGGATGTTTCGGAGGATAATGCTGACGTTGGTGGCTGCTGTACCATCACTGCATCATCGTGACCCGCGACCCGGTACAAAGGTTGGATCTCATTCACGACGGAACGGTACATAATGCAATCAGCTGGGTACCTATCGTTGACAAGCTTGATATCGGACTGCTTGATCAGCGGGACAGTCTGATAACCCTGACATTAGGGTTCTTACTGGCAGTGATTTTATTTTGAGGGTTTTTAACACATCGTCGTAACACAAATCCTTGTCGACGATAACATGGGTGACGCCGTCTCGCCACTCCCTGATCCAGAGCGCTCCCCACTCCATCGCCTTCCGAATCCGAAGCTTACGAGGAATCGACGTGTCGTTGTTTGGTATAAAATCTAGATGCGATTAGTGGCCACTAAAGTGCAGACTTCATACCCACGAGGCTCACAGAAGGCAAGACCGTTGAATATCTGTTGAGATTCGTTCTTCAGCTCTAGAGATTGGCCTCGCTTTCTTTTCCCGATGGTTTTCGATGCCTCCTTCCGAGCAGTCATACTTGCGGTTCTCTTCGCCATGATGGGTGTATCAATAATGACTTGCTCTGAAGGCTTTGAAGACGGCATGGGAGAAAACGAGCTTCTCTCGACCACGTTAGCTTGACAAGGACTCGAGGCCGACAGCTGGGGTAAAGGTGCTGAGACGGTGCGTAAGAGTGATTGCTCTGAACGCGAGGAATGAATGATTTGGTTACTCGGGTTCCTTGCCGAGACATCTGACCTAGGGAGTGGAAGTATCACACTAGCATTGCCTTGGTCCTCTTCGCCGGAGTCCTCGTTGTCGAGTTGATAAAGCTCGTCGAAGAAGGCTTCTTTCGTTTCCTTCTCCATTTTTGACACGCTTGCAGCCTACTATCGTAATCCATATGTGAATCGAGCGTAGTGTTAATACCTGACCACGGCCTGAAGAGCAGCGGTGAAGTTGTGGAGCAAGCGCCGGGTAGTTTGGGGGAAAAACACGCGAAAACATGTGACTTTAAGCACCTCCACAATTCTTGCAACACAATGATCCCAAGCGGTCGATGAGACACAACCAAGTATTCTGGATCGAAACTTTCAATAACAGGAATCGGCCTACAAGCGCGAGAGATCGTAGTCTAGGACAGAAGACGATGGTTCGTCCTTTGTTGGTCACTATGAGCTATCATCTTGCTCGCTCAAGCGGTTCAAGTATACCATGAATGTGGGAGCATCTGGTCGGTACGATGTTGAAGCGCGAAGAATTTATGCGCTGACACCTGCTGTCCCGGTTTTTAACGTGTTTGGTCCTTGGCTCATGTTTCATGTTTATCTTCCGATACGTCAGTTCGGCTCCGCATGGTCTCTTCAAACATTGATGATGTAGAAAGCCCCACACCATCTTCGGATCTTGTATCCTGGCAGGAAAAGCTGCAATATGCGGCCGGATAAGGTAGTCCGTCGAGTAAGGCTCTCGCTGCTCGATCTCTTTAATAGTAAATGTTGTCCGTCCTGTCTCAACATCCGATGCGTCGTTGTCCGCCGCCACCATGCATGCCAGCCATGCAATTCTCTTTACTTCTTTGCTCTCTTTGCTGGCGACGCTGGCTGTCACCCAAAGCAACGGTGCTTTTTGTAATAGACTGTATCATTCCTCAATTGTGGTCAACGACAAACTATATGTCGATGGAGGAGAATTGCGAACGGTTTGAAGACCTGAACTGCGGCTTTGGCCTGGTACATCATGCTTTGTGCTGACGTGGCCAGGTAACGAATGGCAATGTTTCAATTTCAATCCCAACCACCATAGACACGATCGATCTGTCGAAGTCCTTCAGCAACGCAGACACTTCCATATGGGAACAGATACTCAAGAATGGCACCACTTTTGCCTCCAGCGCTCCCACTCTCAACGACGGAAGTATGTTCTCAGACAATATTAGCCTGTATCTCTTTGGCGGCGCAATCAGCGTGGCACCGGGAGCACCTGGAATACCTCCACCAAACGCCATATATCAATACAATGTAGGCAAAAGGCAATGGACCCAAATGAATCCGGGGGGCGATCCTATTCAGCGTGTACTTATCGGAATGTCTGCGCAGAGCTCAACAACCTCAGTAGGTTACTATCTAGGTGGTGCCATTACTCCTTTGAGTAATCCAAGCTTCTATGCCGAAACCAATTCTACGCCATACATGATCGAAGGCCTCGTAACCTTCAACGAGGGATCTGCTACTTTCATGAATTCTTCGACATCCCAAATGAACCGAGATGGCACTATAGCTGAAGGTTACCTAACACTCATCGAGTCTCTCGGCTCGCAGGGCGTCCTGGTTACGTTTGGAGGGTTCACAGACATCGCTGGAGCACCGTCCGGTTTGGAGGATTCCGATTTATCTGACCCCTCGTTTCAATGGCCGCTTGCGAACGTGTCTATCTATGATATCGGAAACGGAACCTGGTTTCAGCAAGTGGCGACAGGAGATGTACCACCCTGGCGATACATGGGTTGTTCAGTACTTGTCAGCGCGCCAGATCAAAGCAGCCATTCCATCTACGTCTTCGGTGGCTGGGGCAATTCTTTCGGAGGTTCAGACGGTAATGTTTACGTGCTATCCATACCTTCCTTCCAGTGGATCCGCGTGAACGAAGATAGTAATCGTCGCTCACGCCACAGCTGCAACCTATTGGGTAACCACACGATGCTGGTGACGGGTGGTATCCAACCCATCGGTGAGCAAGTCCTGCCATCGGATGGCACAGGCTGCGACACATCCCCAATGTTTGCCCAAGGTCTGGGGATCTTTTCGCTGAACCACCATACGTGGGCCACCAGTTACGATCCTTCTGAAGGCGCGGCACCTTATGAGGTTCATCCAAGCATATCGAATGTCATAGGAGGCAATGAGAATGGTAATGCTGCGATTCAGACCCCAGTGGGTGGTTTCTCACAGCTGGCTTTGGAAACTCTTCTTGGCGCGCATCAAAGCCCCGTTGGTGCAGTCGGCAATATCCCCAATATAACTTCAACGTCTTCTGCCGGCACCAAGCGTCTTACTGGAGGTGTCATTGCGGGCATAGTGGTTGCAGCGATCACTGGACTGGCCATTATCCCGACTCTACTGCTCGTTTTGCTACGTCGTCGGTACCTTCGTCTAAACCCTGCACGACCTGGTATCTCTAAACCGGTCCTACACGAACGCAAGGCGTCGGAGGTCGATTCGTTGCCTTGGCCATCAGAGATGATAGACGATAGATTTGCACTTCATGAACTGTGGAGCCCTATGGACAAGCCTTTGCCGCCTGGACCATTTGATGAGAAGATTGTCTCGCTGCACGAGATGGAAGGGGAAGATCTGGGGATACATCTTGCCGAGCGAGATCTGGAGCGAGAACGAGCTGAGGTGGATAAAAAAGCGAGGATTGTAGCGAATCGTTATGTAAGATGTGTGGAATAACAGAAATATCTCCCAAGTGCTCGTTACGTCGCCGTCTAGGATTTTCGGGTCGGTGGCATATGCTTTCGTGTTCATATATATTTTTCTCTTGTACTTGCAGTATCAATGGACTCGATCTCGCAAGTATCTGACCGAAGTGATGCTGTTCGAGCCCAAAAAGCTGCACGCTTCCTCATATAACTAGCAAGTGTGCTCTTTCCAATCGGTGATGCTTTTGTGACCAATGCTTCTCTTCTTGATTCCATATCCCATCGCCTAGTCAGAGAGCCATAGAGACCGAGCCCTAAAAGACTCATTATGAAAATGTCCTCTCCGTATGGTCACCCTAGCATTCGAGCGAAAACATTCCCGCATGCTACCACTTCTGCAATGCTCCAACCACGTTTTCTCTTAACGAGACCGCGGTCTCTCCTCCACACCCAATGGCTCTACCCCTCCTGCCAATCGCCGCTCCAATGGCTCTACCGCCGCACATCCACACTGCCTCAAACCCCCAAGCCAACAACACCCCCCCCTAAACAGCCCTCCGATGGAGATCCCACCCCCAACCCCCTCTCCCGTCCCCTTGGCCAACCAAAACCGCCCATCCCGGGCGAAAACAGCGGCATAGACTACCGCACATGGCGGGAACGGAGGGCTGATTTTGTCAACTACGATAAACATCTCGAGCGGCGGAAGGCATTGTATTCAACCCCCCTGCGTCCCAGCCTCGAGGCTTCGTCACACAAGGTAACGCAAATGCTGATGGCGTGTTGAATGCCAGAACGAAGAAGGTCGCAAAGCCGTATTTCAGAGAATGGACGAACATGCGGCACCACCGGGGCAAAACGTTCCTTTCTCCGCCCAAACTGTTCAGAGCGGATTCGGCGCTGTATTTCCCGAACATGATGGGGTACACACTCGCCACACCCTCCACGACTACATCTACGACGTCGGTATTGACGGACAAGACGTCGATCGTCAGCGTCTTCAGCGGAACGTGGGCGGAGCGGCAGACCCTCACTTTTGTTGGCGAGAAGCGAAATCCGGCGTTGGCGGTGGAGGTGGAGAAGTTGGAGGGGGAAGGGCTGCAGAGGGTGTGGATCAATGTCGAAGAGGACTGGATGAAGGCTGGGTTGATACGGCTGTTCCTGGGGAGTAGTAAGAAGGGAAAGAGTAGGGCGGAGTGGGGAAGGAGCTTTGTGGTAAGGAGAGGAGTGGACGATGATGTCAGAGACAGCATCGGGATGGCGAATGGGAAAGTGGGATATGTTTATTTGGTGGATGGAAATTGTAGGATCAGATGGGCTGGGAGTGGGGATGCGGACCCTGGGGAGAGGGAGGGGTTGATTGGCGTTGCCAGGAGGTTGGTTGAGAGCAATAGGAGGCCTGAGAGTGGGAAGAAACGCGAGGGAGTTGTCGGTGCGAAAGCAGAACATTGATGTTTTACATCAGGATTTTGGATGCTAGATACCCCATTCGTACAAGACGTTCTCCACTCATGTCGGACACCAAACGCCATGCTGCCCAAACTCTCTTGCCCAGGTGTCACATTAAAAAGAACAGCAACAGACAACAAAACGCAATGAAACTCCCTAATATAATCCCATCCCTCCTCTTCTTCGCCCCAATCCTCCCGATCAGACTATTAAGCCCCGGTACCTGACTAGCAGCCCCCACAATCCTCCTATTAACACTCGCCAACGTCTCCCTCTGCGTGCCAAAACTCTCGTTAATCGCATACGCCTGGCTCAGCACCCCGTCCGCGACGGTATGACTCCTATCGATCCTGTTCCGCTCATCGAGCATGTAGTCTGCTTCGGCGTCTGCGGGGTTCGAATTCCGGTAGGCGGAGATGTCGGAGCGTACGTTCGAGAGCAGATTGGCACGTTGACGCGCGTCGGTTATGCTGGCTTTCAAGCGGACGAGTTCGCGCCGGTGGTCGAGGAGGATTTCACGGTGGCGGGTGAGGTTGTTGGATTTTAGGGCCGAGGTGGTGAGGGGGGATTCGGAGTCCAGGAGGCGGGTCAGTTGCGTGATTAGTGCTTCTCGCTGTAGGGTACGGATGTCAGCTCGAGCCCCGCCCATACTAGGTTGTCGTGCAGTGGAGATTGAACTGCGTACCTTTTCAAGCAAGTCCTGGATGGTTGCCTCGGTCTGTTTCTCATCTTCCGTAGGCTTCGGGGGGATGGCGGTAGCCTGCGAGAATTGGGAGTATTTGTGGAAGTACCCTTCTGTCTAGAAATTGTAAGTTCCCGGAGGAGAGTTCTACAGCATAGAGGACAATGTACCTGAGACTCTAAGGTTCTTGTTTGTTGACGAAGCTGAGCCCATCCATTGCCCGTTGAGGATGACATATTGCTTGGAGGTTGTGTGTGTTAATATAAGGAGGTGCTTTTTTTTCTTCCGGGTTCGGAGCCTTCAAAGCTTTCATGGTGGTATCATTGAAGACACTCAAAAAGACAGATGTCTTGGCGGACATATGGACTTCGGAGATGCCTTCAGGTCTTGGCGCTGCAGGCTCGCTAAGATGTGGCGCTAAGGAAGCCAAGAACTTTCAACCGCACATTTTTCGTGATCGAGAACAACGACATCTTGAAGGACCTCTACCACCGCGACAAAGCATCAAGATGGTAGGTGACTCAATCTAGACGCCCTTGAGCATCGCTGATGGTGCCTGCAGTCATCCTCAAAAGTCCGCACCGGCCAGCTCTGGGGCAAGAGCAAGGATGATCTGAAGAAGCAACTCGTGGACCTCAAGACAGAGCTAGGTCAACTCCGCACCCAGAAGATCGCCGGAGGCGCTTCGTCCAAGCTTCACAAGATGTGCGTACTGCCCAATCCGCTCCGCCTTTTACCTTTGGGCTCCATGGAAGCAGATCTAACCCTCGGTGCAATGTAGCCACGACCTCCGCAAATCCGTCGCCCGCGTCCTCACCGTCATCAACTCCAACCAGCGACAACAACTACGCATCTTCTACGCGAAGAAAAAGTACCTCCCTCTCGACCTACGTCCGAAGAAGACCCGGGCGATCAGGAGGCGGTTGAGCAAGCATGAGGCGACGATCGTGACGGAGAAGCAAAAGAAAAAGTCCACGCATTTCCCGCAGAGGAAGTATGCGGTCAAGGTATGTTGAAAATCTACTCTGGCGGTGCGAGCTGGCAATTGGACTTTTACACTTGCCGCGCTATGTTATTGGAGATCTTTTGGATTTGGTGGCTAATTGTGGACACAGGCTGAGGTTTAGGTGCTGGCGAGCCGGAAATTTGGCAACGAGCGTTTGATTCGCATAGGGGAGGTGTCCACCTTCGGCCTTGCTCAGATAGTGGTGGTTAGCCAAATGCATTCAAGTCCGGTCTACCGAACCCTTTCCTACTGCGTCGGATTGGATCACCCTGGTGCCAACCGTGACGAATGGCCAGCGCTCTGGCGTGAGCACGGGTCAAGTCGCTGTACCTTGTCAGTTCACAGTACTAACATTGTCATGGCCCTAACACGAATGGTCCGTCCACTACACAAGTTCCTCAGATCGGTATTGTATTGAGGTGATTTGTTTCCCTCTTGAAGATACTCGCGGTCTTATTGAGTCGACTCATCGCTGGCTTGTTCATATTTCATCCACGTAGTCCCTACGCAACGCAACATCCATTACCTCTTCAGCTCTTACCTCCTCTGCGTACCTCGATTCATTTACCTTGAACGAATTCGGAACATTTGCTAATCTTGACACCCCGTCCCCAACATCGAACCCGAGCCACCAACGACTGACACAAAAGTTCAAATGACACCGCTAATGCTTACCGATTTGTTACCTTTTCCGTCTGTTTGCAGATTGTTTCTCGGTTGGGATTGTTTCGGTGGAGGAAGGGGAGAGGCGGGATTGGGGAGGGAAAGAGGGGTGCGGTGAGGTAAGGGGGTGTAGTATCGGTGGGTGCTGTTGGCTCATCGCTTTGTGTTTTTCTGCTGCCACGGTGGCGGGGTAGGAGTGGTGTGCTTTGGAAGAGAATGAGATCCAAGATGCCAGTCCCGCACAGAAGGATTTGGGGAAAGGTGGCAGGGCTGAGAGCGCTCGTCTTTTTGTTTTTTGCAGGCTTTGGTGGGTGGATGGGTTGAGTGGTTCGTATCGGCTCGGTGGAAGTTTGGGATCTTGGCCGGGGTCATCTCTTTTGTGCCTGGGCTTTGCTCGGGTCTTTTAGGAATGGATTACGGTGTCATGGCATACTGGGCTCAATGGTTTGGGTGGGTAATGCTGGGATCGAGGCTGTGTCTCCCTCGCAGAAGATAACCAAGAGCTATCAAAAGTCCTCTCCTTCCTCTCCGACTCAAGCTCAAATCCCCATTTCCCTCTAACGGCAACTCTTGCATTTTTGCCATTCATCCCGGCTTCGTGCTGCTCCGTGTCATAATCGTTCAATCCGTAAGATGAAGGAAGAGGTCACTATGTACAAAAGAATGCTCTTGATCGTGAGATTCAGGCGTAGAGTTGCGACGATAGTGCGACTGCCATTTCTTGGGGCACCAAACCCTTGTGACTCTCTCTCGCTAATGAGTACGAAATGCGAATTTGATGCTGCAGCGACTCTACTCAGGCCGCTCTTTCTTTGGGTGCCACCGCAAGTTGGTCTTTGTCCGGCGTGTGGACACTCGTACCTCGATGAATGGCGAAGAGGGTCAATGGTTCTAAGGTTTGGTCCTTGTCTCCCGTGTCAATGTCTGGATCTTCATGAGTCTCGCCGAGGCTCCGTGACTCTGCAGCTTTGCCTGTTTCATTCGTATCAACATCTGCAGGATCATACAGCTTGGCAGGGCTTGGTGATGCTATAGCTTTGCCTTTATCGCCCGTATTGACATCTGCAGGATCATAAAGCTTGGCAGGGTTTTGTGATTCCACGCCTTTGCTTTCGTCGCTTGCATCGGCAACTTTGGGTTTATAAGCCCAACCCTCGGCCAGCTCGCCTATCCAGTCATCCACGTCCATAGGAAGCGCTCCTACCGCCTTAACGATTTTCATTCTGAGATGGTTGCCGTAGGTACTGAAACTGGAAGGACTCGAGTTCAGAACAATGGCTAATCATCATAACGAACGGGGGGAACCTCCTACCTTCCATTCTTTAGGCCTTGAATAGCATTTTTGGCTTCAGCTTCGGTTTCGAATTCAACATAGCCCCATGTACGAAGGCAGCCAGTCATGCCAGTCGTGTGATGGTACCTTTGCTTTTGAACCGTGTATCAGTGGCGGTACTGATGGAGTAATGCAGGAAGGAACTCGATTTACACCGTAAAGCACTTTACCATATGGGCGAAATAGATCCTGCACAGCTTTGTGAGAGAGATGACCTTGGAAAGGCCTGCCAAAGCTTTAGCAAGTTTGCCTCATCGACGACTTGTTACCCTGATGTACCCGGCAAGGACTCTTCTTTGCGACATGGCTTGACAAGAAGATTGACTGATTGACAAGTGATGCCTGAGAAAGGAGATGATGTATGCTCCAGCGATTGGAACCTCAGTCAAGTAGCGACGAAGATGGCGAGTGTGTTGTTAATATATTTGCCAAATAGTGTGCTTCAGGGTGGTCTTGTAGGGAAGACGTAGAGATATAAGTTCGATAATGGGGCCGATTGACGGCTTTGGTTGTTTTCGTGTCGGAAGGGTATTGGAGAATCTCAAATGGTGACTTTGGTAGAAGGGATATCATGCAACCTCGGATGGAACCAAACGACACTTGACTTTGGGGAAATGCTGCACCAGGCACCCGAGAATCCATTCGTAAGTGCCAGGTTGGCCGACGTGTGGAGACAGATGCAATGATGATGCGAGCTACCCACTGGCAGCATGAGACAAGGCAATATTAATCACGTCAGTTGCCACCTGTGCTTTTCGCCAGGCGTTGAAAGCAAAGATTCAAGAGGAGTATGGTAATCATAATGACAATTCGGAGCATCAACATACGATCACCTCGACAACTTGAATCCTAGGATTTCTGCAGGTGGTCGTCAGAAGAAAAGATCGGTTGCCTACTTGCTTTGCCGCAGCGAATTCACGGAGCGACAGCTTTGCTTTGTTGTGAGAGGAACAGGTCATTATTAAGTAGGTCGATGCTGGGCATGCATAAAGTACCTACCTTATGCATACAATTGCTTAGCGGTCTTGATGCACGCGAAATCTGCACGGACCAAGCGGGTTTTGACATCCCTGTACTCTACATCTGCAGCAATTGCCGAGATTGCGAAGGCGAAAGGAGCCACCTCCGAAGAAGGTTTGGAAGCCACTTGCTGTTCTCTTTTTAAAACGACGTGTTTCACTATATTAATATGTCTTCAGGTTTCAGCTTGGCAACGACTAGTTTACCTTAGTCGTAAGTAAGGTATGGAATGACTATGGAATGACTATAGCCTGTAAGGCTGAATCTAGATCTCACCGACTTAGTACCAATCTTTATCTGGGTCATTGCCAGCGTCGAAAATCATGTCGTGATCTCATCATTGTTATCATTCTGTACCAACTCTCTCCATTTTTCCAATATTTACTACACGTCCAGATGGTGTATCAAGCCAATCACATATCTTTCCATACTCTCAATGTCATCATTCATCCACATCCACCACACCACCAAGTCCATCTTGCCTGTCCTCCCGACCGAGGTAAGACATGAGGACAGCAAGTGCACCAAACTTCCATACCCGTGTCTGCATACAGGTACCACCCAACTTCGCAAGCTTGCCCTATCTTAGATGCTCACATCATCATTGACCTATCAAACCATTCGACTTATGAACAATTCCCTGTCCATCTCATTTCCCCACCGTCAGCTGTGGCTGCGGTCTAGATGAATTGCCTTTCCATGCCGTAAATAGCCTCTCGATTCGGATTTCTCTGAATGCAACCTTCAGACGACGCCTTTGACTTCTACGACTCTCTTCTGATATTTGATCGCATCTGTCCCTTTGCCGTCAAGAATTTACCCATCATGTCGCGCAGAGTATTCGATGTCGGTCTTGATATGGGACGTATACGAAACGGCTTGAAGCATAATAAAGACAGCAAACGCAGCAAAAGCTTTCGATCCAACTTTACCAAAGACGACAGCCTCGTCGACGATACTCCACTTCCAAATCAGAGCAACGCCCTCGTACCGCGGCACAAGAAAAGCAACCCCAGCCTTGCCACGAAACGGCAAAATCACAATCACACTCTCAGCAACGAAGAGCCTGTCGTCCTCCCTTCAGCAAATCTATCGCCAAGAATGGACACAGAATTCCCACTACCACCTTCGAAGCGTATTTCCCCAGAACAGAACCAAGTCAATGGGAATGCAGAACGCTCCGTACACCCATCCCAACTTTTCCCCTCAGGACCATCCAATGGTAGCCCAGAAAGTGCGCCGAAGCCGGAAAGGAGAGGATCCGGTGACCAGAACTTCGACCTCAAACCGCCTCCTCCAAATTCCAAAGTCAAGAACATTGATACCCTTTCTGAGCAGCTCTTCTCTGGTGACCATCTGCGCGTCATTCTCAAGGATCCATCATTCTTCCTCCGATTTACTGCCTTCCTCAATCGCTATCGACCACACTCTGCCCCAATACTCGTACGCTATCTCGAGGCACAGAAGGCCATGAAGGCCGTAGAGTATGCGAATGCTTTGGCCGAGACATTAAGACCGACACCGGGAGAACCCTCGGGTCCTTGCCCCGCGGCATCTATTGACCCAAGATTCGAGGCGAGGTCGAAGAGGTCATTCGAGTCCTTGATCAATGAAGCTCTACCGGCATATATTACGAATTGTCTCACGAAAGTGGTGACCGAAAGCATGGTCAAAGAAATCACGGGACAAGGAATGCCTGTCATGCGCGAGCTTGTTGGGGGTCTGGCAGAAGTCTTCTGCTTAGCGGACCCAAGTATAAAGGACTGCCCCATCGTCTATGCCAGCGAAGAGTTTTATCGCACGTCAAGGTACTCGCGAGATGATGTCTTAGGTAGAAATTGCCGTTTCTTACAAGGTCCGAAGTCAAACCGAACAACCGTCGCCCGAATTGGCACAGCAATCAAATCTGGACAAGAGTCTTGCGAAACGCTTCTCAACTACAGGCGAGATGGTACACCATTCATGAACCTCCTTCTCACAGCGCCTCTCTACGACAATCGAGGCTCTGTTCGCTACTTCATCGGCGCCCAAATAGATGTCTCCGGATTGATCGAAGATGGCCGTGGCCTCGACTCTTTCGCACACTATCTCGCAGAGAATCGGCCAAACCGAAATCGAGACAGCGATCAATCCAACGATACTATCTCTCAAAGACATCTCAAAACGCTCAGCGAGTTCGGCCAAATGCTCTCTTTGGACGAATCGTCCGTCTTCCAGCATCACTCCCGCGCGAGCTCGGTGCAAGACAATGCTTCAACTATCAGCTATAGAGGAAACCACAGCCGTCAGGAACCAGGGATGAGGCGTACGCGTAGAGTTCTGGGCAACGATGATGATGAAGAAGAAGAAGGAAAGGACAAGAACGCGTGGGCGCTCTCTTCTATCGGGCCATCCGGAAAGCTGCCCGGTGTCTATCAAAACGTAGCTATGCTCCCTCCTCTTGCCTACCTCCCCCCATCCTACCCCACGCCAGCTAACAGTGAATGAACAGTACCTCCTCGTCCGCCCACACCCCTCCATGCGCATCATCTTCGTCTCCCCCGCCCTTCGCATCCCTGGCCTCCTTCAATCCCCTTTCCTTTCCCGCATCGGCGGTCCTTCGCATGTCCGCGAAGGGCTTCTCGACGCGTTCGAATCCGGCGCTGCTGTCACCGCAAAAGTGACTTGGCTACCGCATGGCCAGGAGAATAATGACATGACAAATGGCGACTCGAGACCCAGCAGCAGAAGGGGAGGGCCACCAGATCAAAGTGCACGTACGAGATATATCTCGTGCACGCCGCTACTGGGAAGTGATGACCAAGTTGGCGTCTGGATGGTCGTGATGGTGGAGAATGAATTCGTCACCGGCTCGCTCGCATCCCGCCAAGCCGCGCTCAATAGATTCAACAACAACAACAACGAGATACCTCCCACACCCTCGGATTATCAGCGCGAAACGCACGTTGGCAGTGACACCGACGAAGGCGGTGGGGCCAGGAGAACCTTTGAAAGTCAAAGAGGAGGATTCGAAAGAAGCGCGAGCGGGCAGATCAGGGATGAAAGAAAGGGAAGAGTTGGGAGTGAGGGCGGAAGACTGTACGCTGATTTCATGAAGAACGGTGGCGGAGGAAAGATGAGTATGGATGATATGGCCGAGGAAAACGGGACCGGGAATGGGATCCGCCAATCGGATGGGCCGGACAGGTATGTTAACGGAGAGGGAAGGGTGGAGGAGGTGAGGAGTCCATGATTTAGTGCTCTCGGGTCATGCTTTTTTAGAACGAGGGCCGCGGTCCCAACCGGGAGAAATACAGGCTACCGGGTACTGGCTTTGTACACTGAGCGATCATGATGCGAGGTTGGATAGAGGGATTGGGTCGAGGAGGGGTCGAACTGATTCGTTGCATCGATCGATCGATCGATTGGATGGCGTTGCAACGCATCCGCTCAGCGAAAGGGGGTGATGGTCTCACCGAGCAACGAACGCTCGATTGCCCTACCACGATGGCCTCCATTCTGGAGTCTTGGAGCTGTTCATATCCGTGCACGTACATAGCGCGGCGCAGGTATACAATTCGATATCCACATGCTTACTCCCCTCTACCTACCCAATGCGTTCCAATGCTGCATGTTGCAACCGTTCCCCCTCCGTTCCCGCCGCGTGCACTTCGATGAGGAGAACGGACTCGATGGGATACCAACCACTGTTCCCTCGTTGCGGCCATGTCCTTCTCCACGTGCACGAACTATAAACGAAACAGTAAGCGACCCTAACGCCGTCGGAGGATCCTCGCGTGGCCCGTAGGCGTTCGTGATGAAAATGGTTTAATTACTCCCTACCTATCTTTATTGAAGACCGTCACGCTTCATCACTCTATCTCGTTGGCGAAACCAGGCTTCCCCCCTCCCCGAAGCACGTCATTGCTTCTGGAAAAAGGGTTTCCCTCCCCCAAACACGTCATTGCTCCCAGGTACACATCCATCCATGACGCAACGCACCCTCCCATCACCGTCGTCCCACCCACTCCTGACCCCATCTACACATATTGACTCCACGAGCCGCCATCCGTCGCCCCACGAGCGGAGTCTCAGACTTGGTAGGGGTCCGGCGCCAGACCACAAGATAGTATGCACATAAAGCTGTACGAGTCCGACGGCAGCAGTGTCGATGAGCAAATTTCTGCGTTCGTCCAACGCTTTTTCTGGAGCCGTGTCGAACATGAAATGACACGTGGTTTCGAATCGGTGTGCCGAATCGACGTGAAATCGAGAGCGGACCGGCTCTTCAAACGGTGACTTTGTGGGACGGCTTGGCGTGCTGGAGGGATTGTCGTCATCCTTGCTGCAGGCTGGCTCGGCTGGGAGGGCTAATAGCGTATTGCTTTTCCCTAACCGGAGCAGATTGGGCCAAAGGTGAGACTCCCGGAAGTTTGATTGGCGAGATTTGCCATTAGAGCGAAATGTTCTCGCTCGTTGGGGAGTGCAAGAGGTCAGGAGTAGATCGTACGGATGGGTGAACCGCAGGTGCTCGTGCTTAGTATGAAGCTTGCTGGGAGATTTTAGGACTGTCTCCACGGCTAGGCTTCTCATTCGATCTTTTCGAGCGCAGTCCCATGCTTCGGCCTTGCAGGACGGGCATCATAGCTCAATGTCCATGTTCCCCGTCAGATTGGTCATTGCTCGACTAACGAAATCCTTATCATTGTATCTCTGAGATTTCTGTAAGACTGTGCTTTTTGTGAACCGCTGACAGGCCTGAAGTAGAGAAAGAAGATGGTGTCCAAGAGAATAGTGCATTCCCCTTTTAGCAAGCTAGACGGATGCAGCGAGAAGCGCATAACGAAGTAAGGAGATGGACGACGCGGCGGTCTGAAATTATGTGGTGAGCCCTATGCGAGAGGCACAGACACACCTAGTTGCTAGTTGCTTCGCGGAGAATTCGCCGATAGATCGACATGGGTATGCTCCGGAACATTCAAAAATATCCGAAATTGCTCACTTGCATATGCGAGTGTCGGTCACAATGGGCCGGAACCGAAGGGCAACGTGTTCCCAGGAGGCATGAGCGTAAGACGGTAAGCGCATGACGAGTGTGCCTAATCTTTTGCTTGACATGATCCCTCTCCACCACCGAAAACTCCAGAACCCAAGCGCCAGAAATGTATGCAGCACTATGTAGTTAACCTTTCTTTTTCCCAGGTGTCGCGTGTCTTTTTTCCCTGTTGCCAGTTGTAATGCGACCCCGGGTGTCACATTTCAGGTGTCCATTTTGACTTTGCCCTTTTCTCCTCATACCTGCCCTGCTTCCAAATACATCATTTACTCCATGGGAGACTGGATTCCGCGGCGCATATCAAACAGTAGCAAACGCGACTGTCTCACGCGGCTTCCTTTTTGGCAACGTCCTCATTGGTCATCGGCCAGAACCTCCCTCACAGTTCTGACAGCTTCTTGCTGTACCTGTGTAAGACTGGCGCCACAATCGACCTCCAGCACATCTCTTCCTTGCTCTGTAGCATCAGGCTCTTCCAGCGCCTCCATCTGTGACCGAACCATCGCGCTTTTCATGTAGTGGCCCTTCCTGCCTGTCACTCGTGCCAGAAGCACGTCGGCGTCGGCTCTTAAATATATGAAGTGCACCATTACGTCGTGGTCATTGTAGGCGGCGATCCGTATCACGTCACGGTATTTGCGTTTCAGGGCAGAGCAAGTGACGACGACGCCATCATGACGTTTGTTTGCTGAGCGTTTGGAGGGCGAGAGGCGAGCCACGGCAGCTTCTCGAAGGGTAATGAGCCAATCCCATCGGTCAATGTCGGTGAGGGGGGATCCTTGTGACATTTTTTGCTTGTTGGAATCGGAGTGGTACTAGTCAACGAATTCCGTCAGCTGGGCTGCAGGGTCCATATGAGGATTCGTATCAGGTTGTGTAGCCCCACTCACATCATCTCCTTCGATGTATGGTATCGACAATTCCTTGGCAACGTATTGAGCAACGGTGCTCTTGCCACATCCTGCTGGGCCCGTGATGATCCACATGTGGCGGTGGTGATGGGCGGCCAAGGCGCCATGGATCTGCTTGACAGAGGCAGTGGATGCGTAGTCCATGGGTGACGGCGGAATGGGAAGGGTGTGCCCTCCAGTGACACTGACCATGGTCATGGTGAAAGTATTTTTAGTGATAAGGGAAGGGAGATATTTGGCGTCGGGAAGAGGTGGTGGAGAAGCGAAAGCGATGGGAGGATAGTATTTTGCAAGAGAGAATGTTCGGTTCCATGCCGGGGTGCATGTCACGGGAAGGCGGCCGAAGGAGGATATAAGTAGCAGGTGAGGGTGAGGAAGGGTATTAATGTATACTTGGCACTCCTGCAAACAAGATCAGGATTGGAATAGGTAGTCTAATGAATAATGGTAGGAAACAAATCAAAAGAAAATTAAAGGAAATAATTGTGGATCCAAGCCAACTGCTTGGGAGTCTGGGACCCCACACTAAGGAAAGTACCGAAAGTACCTCAAGGAAAAAGAAGGAGTCGGAAGGGAAATCAAGTTCCCTTGTCTGCCTTAAGATTATGGCAGCGGTAAGCCGCGACCCGGCAAGTAAAATGTTATTCGTCTCGAATGTCGGTCTGGTCGGAATATTCATAAAGCAAAGAGGCCTGAGCGTGCGCCTGACACAGTGACGTTGTTGCTTCCTTTGTAGAGATCTTGAACCGCTTGGACGATGAGATATGGGGTAATTTAGCACTTGCCAGTTAGCTTGAGCCTTACCAACGAGATGGTTCCTGATGTAGTATAAGTCTCCGTGCCTCCACCCAATCCTGCTCAGCGAGTAATGCGGAGTGCAGACGGCTTGCAGCACGTTGGACTTGAAGTGGTCTGACCGTGTGATGGCTTGGAGGCTTGGAGGCTTAGAGGCTCGGAGGCATGGATCGTTGGTGCACCTTTTGGGACGACATAAGCAAGCAGAAGATCAGCGCACTCTGACCGCAGCTGCAGGTGCCAGGAAGAGGGCCAGAAGCCCAGTGAGAGCCCACCCTTGATGCCTGTATCAATGATATCACACCTCTCTCTCTCCCGCACCTGCATGCACATATTCGGTCCGGCCAGTGATACTTCCGACCGCTGTGAACAAGATGTTCCGTTATGCTGCATGCATGGACGGTGCAGCATCGTAGAGTGGGAAGGATCATTAAGCAGGATATTAACGGCGAAGCCCAACCTGCTGCAGGCCTTAGCATGGCTTTCTATCATCCAATCATTATTATTAGCCATGATTTTGATGAGAATGTCGAACCGAAAACAGCCAACATTGATGGTGATAGAGTGATAGTGTATTATGTATGGCCTGTTGGGCGGCCCAGTCGTTGAAATTTTTTTAAGGTACATGCAAGTGTTTGACGCCGTTCGGAACTTTTTTCTACCAGTCTGAGCTTTGACTTTGCTATCTCTCAAACTCTCAAAAAGAAAAGATGGTCCTTCTACAACAGTAGCGTGGGGGTTCTTCTTCAGCTACCTACCCTCGAGTCTCCACTTTACGAAACAATACGAGATTATTCGAATACTGCTGAATTGCTTTCACTGGCTCTACTACTGCTAATGTTGACTAAAAGCAGGTATTCCTGTAGTTAGGCAATGAGAACAATTCTGTGCCATCCCAAAGTCCCTCCGACCCTCCGACCCTCCGACACTCCGAGGCCGGGACGGCAGGAACGTCGCGTTGTAGAAGAGGTCCAATGTGATCGTGCGATGAAGACCGAAAACTTCATCGTCGATCCTTCGCACGTGGAGGCAGGGGGAAGGCGTTCGGACCTGCATGCCAAATCTTGCCTTATCTAGTAAGTCGTTCGCTTGTTCAAATGATTGTGTGGATGAATCTGGAATATGGCTTTCTTAAACCTCGGTCTTGAGTGTGGATCGACATGGCATTCAGTAATTCAGCTCCGAGCCTTATAATCCATCCTACCAAACCCTTCATGGTCCGTATGCTACTCGCAGAGTAATGTGGGTAATGTACTAGGATGAAACGAATCCTGTGGGAGCGGAGGGTTGATCGTTTGAGAAAAGGAACCGGTCCAACTCTCTATGAATCCTTAGCATACGCCTAGTCTAGTATGCAAATCGTAGAAGAGGCTCTTAGGTCTCTAACCGTGAGGGTGCTTTCCTATCAAACGTCGTTTCCTAGGCTGGGGAGAAAATCCATCATCCGGAGCGTGATGGTCCCACCGTTCCATGAAGTCGATGAGATGAACTGATACTACAATTCATCAACCAAGCCGGGGGACGATCTGCACAGTCAGCTGTCTAAACAACCATGACATATGTTGAGAGAAGTGCCAGAATGTCTTGGCGGTCCACTCGTTCAGGATGCTGCGTACCCGTATATTCCTGGTAATACCCGCTACCTAGTAATGCACGGTCTGAAATCCGAAAATTCAGTAATTCGTCCTTTCATTACAGTGTAATAAAAATATTAGAAGATTAAATTATAATACGTAGTCTAAGATTCCTAAAATTTCAATATTTTGGAAATCAGAGTCATATAAATTCTTTAAGCTCTATAAGGTATCGTGTAACGGAGCGGGGGTAGGCTAGGGTAAGTCTTCGGGAGGGTATCCCCAAATATCGGATTTTAGACCGTGCATTACCAAGTAGCGGGTATTACCGGGTATATACGAGTATAGGGCTGCCTTGGCGGGCGGAACACTCCGCTTGGCGCGCTAGGCTTCGATAGCACAAGAGCAGCTTGCTCTGAGTATGACAACAATAAGCAGCTACCACAGTTGATATAATCCATAACTCGCAGCTGAACACCGACCTCCAATTGTGCTAGCAATCATGTCATACTTCTTCTCCACGCCTGTCGACATTGACATAGTCCTCGAGGACACCGATGACAGGACCATGATCGATATGAAGCTCGACAAGGGCCGGCGAGAAAAAGCCCCGCTGTATATGGATGGCGAGTCCGTAAAGGGAGGCGTAACGATAAGACCGAAAGATGGCAAGAGGCTGGAACATACGGGCATTAAGGTCCAGTTTATCGGCACAATTGGTACCTCTCCACGGGCCAGCACGGTGCAAATTCAATGCTAACGGATTGGATCATAGAGATGTTCTTTGACAGAGGCAATCACTACGAGTTCTTATCCCTGGGCCAAGAACTCGCTGCCCCAGGTGATCTCCAACATCCGCAAACCTTCGACTTCAACTTCAAGAACGTGGAAAAGCAGTATGAATCCTACAATGGTATCAACGTCAAGCTACGCTACTTCGTGCGGGTCACAGTATCGCGGCGAATGGCAGATGTAATACGGGAGAAAGACATCTGGGTGTACTCCTACCGGATACCGCCTGAGACAAACAGCTCGATCAAGATGGATGTGGGGATTGAGGACTGCCTCCACATTGAATTCGAGTATTCGAAGTCCAAATACCATTTGAAGGATGTGATTGTGGGGAGGATATACTTTCTGCTGGTGCGGTTAAAGATCAAACATATGGAGCTGTCAATTATACGGAGGGAGACGACGGGTGTTGCGCCGAATCAGTATAATGAGAGTGAGACGTTGGTCAGATTTGAGGTTCGTGATGTGCCGTTTGTAATCTGAAGGACGCTGCTGACCGTCCCTAGATCATGGATGGCTCGCCGTCAAGAGGTACATTTTAGCCTTGGTACCGACATGACATGCCAGTCACTGACCTGGTATCAACAGGAGAAACCATCCCTATCCGCCTGTTCCTAGGCGGTTTTGACCTCACTCCCACATTCCGCGAAGTCAACAAGAAATACTCCACCCGCTACTACCTGAGTCTCGTTCTCATTGACGAAGGTCTGTTTTCCCCTTTCCTTTCCTTTCCTTTCAACCCTCGGTATCGGCAATCTAATGCTCACATCACTAACCCTCTCCACAGATGCCCGTCGCTACTTCAAGCAATCGGAAATCGTCCTCTACCGGCAAGCGCCCGAAATCGCCGCCGCACAATTACAGCAAGCACAGTCGCAACCTCAGCAAATCACCGGAGCGGCCGGATGAGTATTGTCAGACTATTCTGCCCAATCGAGGCTTGTATTTAGCACGTGGCGTGGCGTTGGGAGCGTCTGCACAAAAAGCAGGTATTCGTACCCGTTGCTGCCATCTTGGGTGCAAAGTTGAGAGGGAACGAGAGATGAAAGAGGCATCCCAATATGCAGAAGCAACGTTTGGCCGTGACGAGAGAAAATTCTTTGCGCCATGATGCCGAGTTTGGTATCATGCTACGCATAATGGGATTTTTCAGGATCATGATTCAACAGCTAATGATTTGATTCAGCTTAAGCCCGGTAACGATCACTCTCATGTCTTCCCATTCCCTGACGACTCATGCCGAGCCATCTCCCAGCCACGCAAAGCGGTGAAGGTATGGCAAAAGAGTGCCGGCCACAAAACTACTCCCCCTTCCCATTGTTCTTCATGAACGCATCCTCACCCCCCAATTTCTCGAGCATCTCCTTTGCATTCTCCTTCGTGCTGGGTTTGGTGTTGGGGTTGGAGATGGCGGCCTGCAGCTCTGATCAGCTCTGATCGGGCGGTCTCGCTCTTTGGCACCCTTGGACGGAAGGGGGAAGGGGAGAGGAGAGGAGAGGAGAGGCTTTACCTTGTAACCGCTCGCTTTGTTCGAGATATCCTCCACGTTGCCGTGAATGTTGTCCATCGGGTTGGACATGGTGGGTACGTTCTCCTTGGCTGTACCGGCGGCGGTCGAGTCGTGGATTTCGTCTGCCATGGTTTGCTGTGTTGATTGAATGTGGAGGCAATGCTGCTGATTGTTATTCTTACAGGGATCCTGATGTTGAGGTTTATAGCATGGATATCACGAGCGGTGTAGGGAGTATATATGACACGGCGAAGGCCTCGGCCAGGGCATGACATGGGAGGGATAACATAACCGGGGTATCTATCTAGCTGTTTGCACATAGAGGGGTAAACGCGTCCATTCAGGGTCTAAATACAGGGTTTGACTCTGGTCTGCTGTATGGCCCCGCCATGCAGCTTTGCAGGGACCAATGAGGAATCTTCGTTCACGGTCTAGAAACAGGGTTTAAATCTGATGATGCTGTATGGCCCGTACCTTCGGTTGTCGGCATCACGGGACTTGTTAGATGTAAGACTGCAGATCGGGATCGACGATGCTTGGAATTCGAACTTCGAGGTGAGAGTTGGACAGCAGTGGTGGCAGTAGGAGAGGTCAAAGTATCAAAAGGTAGCACAAGACCGGTCAACGGTTAGAATAGCTCGCAACATCTGCTGAGCTTTCAGTTCTAAACGATTGTTTTGATTCTCCCAGTTTCTTTGCGAAATAGAGAGCCGATCAAGCTGCCATCATGCAACTCGCCCCATTGACGGCAGTCTTCTATCCGAAGGTCTGGTCCTTACTCTTGATTACCTGAGGGTGTTGACCAGTGATACCACAGATCGGAAGCGGCTGCATGAAGTGATAGAACGATCTGGATCGGTTGGAGATGACTGTAGATGCTGGCACTCGATCCAGAAAGCTGTATTCAGGGCTTCATCTGAGCCTCGTCATCATCAGCGCTGGTTCTTCGACGAAGACTCTGACTCGCTCTGCCATTCTTGCCATTGTTGCACCGTCCACGACGCGATGATCAGCGCTCCAGCTAAAATTCATAATCTCTTTCTTGACCACACGGTCATGGTCGTCGAATGCTGGAACTATCCTGGCTTTTCCAATGCCCAAGATAGCAACCTCGCTTTGGACAAGGACTGGAGCCACATATGTGCCGCCTATGCTACCAACGTTGCTCACTGTGACGGTACCGCCTGTCAGATCGGTGACAGAGAGTTTTCCATGCTTCGCGAGCGCTTGGAGCCGGGAGACTTCTAACGCAATGTCCAAAATCGATCTCGCGGAAACATCCTTTATGTTCGGTACCAGGAGCCCTTGAGGAGTGTCCATAGCCACTCCAATGTTATGCTTCTCGCGCATCACAAGCTTCGGTGTATTCTCTCCAGTTCCTGTATCAACTCGAGCGTTTAGGAGAGGGAATTCCTCCAAAGCCAAAGACACCGCTTTGATTACAAAATGCAGGTACGAAAGCCTTCGAGCACTCGATGGCTTGTTATTTAAGCGCTGACGGAGTGTGGACAGCGCAGTCACATCAATCTCATCAGCATAGAGGAAATGGGGGATGCTGAGAGACCTTGTCATCGTCTTGAACATTTGGGTCTGGACGGGTGTGAGCGAAATCGGATTTTCCACTTGGGCTGGATCTGGATTAGATGATTCTCGCGTATTCTGTGGTTGGATCGATTGGGTAGTCCCTGTTTTTTGAGCTGCTACAAGCTTGTGGACATCATCTTTGGTTACGCGTCCGTCTTTGCCGGTACCTGTGACATTTGCTATATTGACGTTTAGTTCTTTAAGAAGACCTCGAACAGCAGGTGTGGCGAGTGCTGCGCTTTTCTCCACGGGAGCTTGGTCTTTTGCTTCCACGGGCGTCTCAAGCCGCAGCTCTGGAGCTTTCTGCGGCTGCTGTGGGTCTGACGGAGATCCTGCTTGCTCAGCTGGAGGGGCCAAGATGGCCTCATCTTCGGGCGAGATGTCGCTTTGAACGTCGATGTCGCAGAGTGGCTTCTCCGCTTCAGCTTCAGTATTTCCAAAAGGAGAGAAGACAAAATTATTACCTTGCCCACCTGCGCGACATCCTCGGCTTCGTAGTGCAACTTTTTGATCACTCCGTCAAACCTGGATGTTATCTGCTCGCTGTTAGTTGCTGCCATTGCCACTCGACCTGCGTAGTTGAGAGTACCTCTGTAGTAGCTTTATCAGACTGGACCTCGCAGATCTTGTCAAATTGCTCGACGCGTGCCCCTGGCTCGACGAACCATTGTATGATCTGTACTTCTTTGATGCCTAAGACAACTGAGTGAAAGCACATCCAAGAGAAAGAGCCGAATCTCACCTTCGCCGATATCAGAGAGCAAGAATGGGCGCACTATAGCCTGCGGCAAAGAAGCGTGAAAGGTGCGGTGGAGAAGAGTACCATTTCGACTCATCCGGAAAAGGCATTGTCTGAATTGTAGCAGCGCGACTGTCATGATGGGTGACGCTCGAGAAAGATAGACATCAGCATGTTTCCTGGCTGTCCTCAGCTGCGCTACGCAATCAAAGGGCAATGGTCGACTATTTATGCAATCACGCTCGTGACTGGCACGAGAAAGAAGCAGAGAAGGTACCAAACTCGGTGTCAGGAGATGGGTTTCTCCATCCGGGAATACCCGATTTTAAGCGCCTGGGCCGAAGCTAGCGCTGAGACAAGGGTCTCAGGGCCCAGGCGAAGAAGAGTGGCTGTTTGAGCACTGTTCAAAGCGGTTTCAATCCCTAGAACATTGACACGATGAAAGTCAACGAGGATTACTTCGCCATTAAACGGTCAAACTCGAACCGATTTGATCGCAAACGACGACATCGCTGGATATAAACCCGGGACTCAGCGCAAAACAAGAAAGCTACCGCCCCAAACTGCAAGCGTCGTCAACCGAGTCTGTGGAGTCTTCCAGCAGAAAACCTCCAGCTAACATTACTATGGGTCACGCTTCAAGATTGAACGTACGAGAGATCATCTACCAGGGTAATTCCCCTGTACGTTGAAGCCGGGTAATGGAATCAATGTTCAAACAACTTTACTATGTAAAACATCTTCGGCTTGGTCTTCAGTAGGCTTCTTGCCCGTATTCGATCGAGTATCCAACAAGCAGATTGTAGAGAGTTGAAATTTTTGGGCGACCAATTTCTACTCATATCAGGGCTGTTATCCCTTGATGACAAAATAATCCAATTGTTCCTGGGTTCGGCGGACATATACACAGATGAGCAATCTTGCATACTAAAATCTTGCATACTAAAAAGTCAATTTTCGGAATCGACTGTGAACAAACACTGGCGATACATGCGGGACGACGTTGCGCTCTTCTCAGTTACAATCTTGCAGTCCCAGCTACATATCTGAGCCGAGGGGACCTTAGATGTAAGGAAGCTCACGTGCAAGACGCAGCGAAAAAGTCAAAATGTACCAAAGAGACGTATATCTTGCATTGCTAAGTTTGAATTTTACGGAAAGATGAAGGATACGACGCCTCCAACGTCGAGTCCTCTTCGCTGTTCTTGCTATTCTCCCTTCTCGTGCCTGCCCCAGCCAAGTCCCAAACTCGATCCCAATCTCCTTAGGGCATATATACCTGCTTTACCTTTACCGCGCCGCTGTCTCCCAACTGACCAACCACGACGCGACACAGCTTACACCATCTCTTCCCTCCGGAATCCAAGGTGATCTCAGCACCTCTGCCCCAACCGCTGTCATGGTATGGATAACCTTTCGTGAAGACCACATCCGCGACAACCTTGTCCTCCTTCTCATGCGGTAAGATAAGCTTGCACCCTCCGCATACGAAAAGCTTCTTCTTCTTGATCACCACATCGCGCTTGTCGTAGTGCCCATTCGCAATACCGCATTCGATGCAGGTACGTTTGCCGCTATAGTTCTGAACGGCTTGGGCATCTGTGAATGTTGTTTTTGATGGTGTGGATTTTTTGAAGGTGTTGCAGAAGGGACAGAGAAGCTCTTTGAGTTTGCGGGGTGAGTGGGCTTCGAATTGCTTGTGAAACTGGATGTATTCCCCATACGACATGAGGGGAGGAGCATCCACGTGTGCTCGGAGACTTTTGCGGGAAAGCCTAAGGCTGTGATGGGCGATAGGGTCGAGGTCCGCTGTGATGAATCGAAGGAGCTCGACCGGCAGGGTGTTGAGTGTGGATACGCCGTTGGCTGGTGGCACGTTTGGGTCATTGCTTAGGATGTCAGTGTTGAGCGAGTTGGAAGCGAGGACTTGATACTTACACCCGCCCCGAAGCGCTGCCCGCTGCATCACTGTCCTGAGCATCGCCGTCCACGGCGTCAACATCACCTTCCTCGCTTGACACATCCTCAGCGTCGTCCAGGGGCTGGGTAGGAGTTGGCCTGGATCTCAGTCAATAAGGGCTCAGATCCCCTGATGAGTCTCTACTTACTCTTGCGCCTCGCCGTCATCCACACTGCCGAGAACTTGGTCATTGGCTGACATCTTGGGCGTTGAATGGATATCGATGCTGGTAGGACGTTAACTCATATACGCCGTGCAAACAGTTCAAGAGCAGGTAACACTTACCAAAGCCCGGAGATTAGATGCAGACCCTATCAAGCTTCTCAACGGTGTTGAGTGGAGATCAAGATGTCTGAGGCAGAACTCTGGAGAGTGAAAGCTGTCGATGCTGTTGAAGCTACCTCGGCCAAAGGGAGTCAAAGTGGAAGATGTTTGAAAGCTTTTCAGAATGCCGCTGAAAATACTGCTGCAGGATTCTGTCTCTGCAGAAAGAAGAGAACGAAGGAGAAAGTTTCACTATGTATATATACCACCCATCCTCTCATTCACGGTCCAAGACTCCCAGCCACCGTGGGGGTCAGAGGTCAGTGTCATCTGCCATTCTTCTTTACTGCATCTTGCTAGCGTATATTGTAAAACATTGCATAGAAGAAAAAGTGCTGAAGGAAAGTCCTGCAATCTGAATGAGGTATAGTTGGTTGGATATAGGAGTGAGGAAGTCCAATCGGACAGTTTCGGGGCATTAAGTAGTGTGGTATGAAGGTGGCGAGAGGTGGCGAGTGGGAGAAATGAGTGAATGGAGATGGGGTAGGAGGGGGGATTGACAAGAGAGGTTTAACGTCTCGGAGCCTTCATTAAAGGGAATGGAAGAGATGCTTCATTTCCCAGAGCGAATACGAGGCATTCACCCACGAAGAACACATTCGATCTCCCTCTCGATCTCGATCTAGGACCTGTGACTGCCCAGGAGGCTTCACCACGCACCGTAGAAAGTAGCCCCGAGTCAAGCAGTGAATGAAGCTCTCAATGCCTTCACCGCCCTCGGACAGTCACAAGATTGTGCCGTCGTCACTCCCATCAGAGCGAAATGAAGAAGGAATCCTGCCTTCCTTGAACCGGGCCAATGTTTAGACCGTGAGCGTATCACATGTTCGCACATGACGTGCGTGTGAAATTGTCTCGCATCATCCAGCTTCAAATCTGCACAGCAAATTTCCACAGTCAACACCATTCACCGACCCTCTCCACCAAGTCAGCCCCTGTACCAAAGCGACCCCACCGACGTAGCCTGCCTGCCTCAACGCAAAGCCCAGCAACGAGAACCCCATCGCATGACCCACTCACAAGCCGAAAAACTTCAACTTCCGCCCCACTCCTCAACCCTCCCTACTCACATCTCAAAACTTCCCCTAGACACAGCAAGCAACGGTGCGAACCGCTCCAAACGGCCACCGCCCCCTAACCATCCCAGAAGACGCTCTCGGCGCAGCAAACAGCCTTCCCCATCCAAACTACCCGACATCAACACTCACTCACTCACCTACCCGACCTCGGACCCAAACACCTCGGACCCAAACACCTCGGACCCAAACACCTCGGACCCAAACACCTCAACCAAACACGACTGGCGTCCCCGAAGCGAACTCGAACCCAGGTATCATCTCCCCGAGCACCCGCACGGCCCGACCTTCGAAGTGAACGGAGCAAGGACCGCAAGCTCGAAACGGGCGTAGCGCTTCACCGCGTCGTGATGTGGGTCGAGGGAGTTGGGGGAAAGGCTGGGGAGGGGGTTGTGGGCGATAAGGGTTGGGGGTTTTTTTTTGGATGAGATGGGGGTTTTGGGTCGGGTGGTCGTGACTGGGAGAATCAGTTGGTGAATTGTTGCAGGAGATGTTTTGTTTTCCCATTGGTACCGATGGGGTATTTGCAACAAAACCAACATCTTATGCGAGGCTGTGTGGAGGATCCGATCCCTCACATCTTCCTCCCTTCTAGATACTCTCACAATTCCCCCTCTTCGCCGCAAGGTCATTACCCCCCTCCCCTTTCTTTTTTTTCCGGCGACGACGCAGAAAACAGCCGTTCCATCACCCCACCCCAAGCTCCTGCGGCAAGCGCTGCACCTCTGTACCTCCGCTCTCCAAAACGTGCTCCACCACAAGATCCGTCCCTGCGGGTAACGATCGTGGGACTTCGCATACGAAGAGGTCGAACCAGGTCAAACACTTTGGGCCCGGCAATCTGTCAGAAGTTAACACGAATATTCTTGTGGTTACGTTGGTTTGCGGTATCGTTTGGAGAAAACCTGTCCCTCGTGATCGAAATCTTGCGCGTTCAACGGGGAGATGGTTCCTCGTTGATGCTTGTCGTGCCGATATCCTATGGATGTGTACCGCTTCGACCGCCGTCCTTTTTGGTATTTCGCCCAGCGCGTTGGATCTGGGAAGGACATGTCGGAGATTGAGCCTGCGATACCTGGTTGTAACCTCACCCTCAACCAAATACACGTAATAGCAACATTTGGTCAACGGCACGAGGGAGCAAGTGCAGAAAGTCACTGATATGAAATATAGAGGGGTATACAGTACAAGGCTAGGGTAAAATCCTAGAAGAACTATAAATTGGGTATATCCAAGAAATCAGAATCCCCGAAATACTTTCGCCGCATCCAAGTCATATAGCATTGAAAGAAAACATATGTGGTATAATAAATCGCAATAGTAGCAGTCTTCAAAAACTGACAACTTCTGTCTTGCCCTGGCTCTTCTGGCCTGGCGCCTAGCTGAGGGATCAAAAAGCCTCACCATTCACCTCTCCATCCAGCATACGGCGTGCAGTGTCCAATCTCCGCCGGCAGACTCGAGCTTCGTACATTGCTCCTTCGCCGCCAAGGTTATGTAGATTAGCACAGACCTTGGCGAGGCTCCCAACCAATCGCTCGATCAGCTCACGGTCTTTGTCGCTGATTTCGAGGGGTTTGACAGGCCCACCCTCTTCAAGAGTATCCAGGCGGGCGATCGTCGTTATATACGATAACAGGTCTGGAGGCTGCGTAGCTAACGCTTTTCCCCCGGGAGGCTTCGCATCGTTCCTGGATGCCTTGTATGCTGACGCTATATGCTTCTTAGTTCTCGATTTGGGAGATCCATTGATTCCGTTGACCTTGTGCTTCTTCGTCTCTGGCTGCCAAGATCCGGCCATAGTCTGGCGTGGAGTCCAATCATCTTCAACATCAGAAGGAGACGAGGGTTTCCCTTCGATCGCGGTAGCAAACGTGTTGACTGTCGAGACTGACTCAACGCTGTCTTTTCTCACATGGCTCCCACCACTTGAGCTCTCGTTTCCGTGTGTCGCATGCTCATTGACTTCGCTCGTGGAGTTTCTAGGCTTAGTGGTCTCGACGGAAGACGCGGAGCTGTCACTGGCTCTCCTTTTCCGCATGCTGCTACTCCGTCTCACGCCCACACCACTGTAGGCTCCCATCGCGCTATGAAGGATATAGTGTTCGTAGTCAAAAGCGTCTGGTCGGTCCTCGTGTCTTTCAACAACGGGCTCTGCGGTTGTTTCATGATAATCTTGGTCTCCGTACAAGCTATCTTCTTTGCCATCTAGGCCCCCGGGTGAGGCTTCATCGATGATGATCAGTCGCTCGGCGGGACTTTGATTTGGGCTTCTGTGGTACGTTATAGACTCAACTTGCGAAGATCGTGGGGTGGGTTCCTCCCCTTGGTTTGCCGGCTTTGGCAAAGGCTCTTCGGTATCGAGGTCGCTGTTCCATGTCGCGTCGCCTTCTTCAGTGGCCGCGGGTGTTTGTCCGAAGTCTTCCTGAGAGGCTTCATTGAGAGTTTCTCCTGCATTTGGTACTTTTGGCTCCTCTACGACTCCGAGTCCTTGTGGTGGTGACTGACCAGCCTCCGGGACTGATTGCCCAGTATACCATTGCTCTGCTGCCGTGAATGGGCTTGGTGTGCGCAAACTTTGCAGGCTTCGTCTCCGCAGATTGTCTTCCTTTGCTCGCTGCTTCAAAGTTGAGATCTTCCCCTTCAAATCTTGCATTTGATCACGGAGGTCACGCATCTGAGTAGTGGATCGAGCCCTGGTAAGTCCGGTAGCAGGAGATTTCGGAATCTCGAACGTAGCTGCCTTTGGTGATGTTTCTAGGTCGAAAATCTCGTCATCTTTGCACTCGTTGGTTTGTGGAGGCTGCTCAAAAGACTCTGGGGCAGGGCCGTCTTCGTTGAGCGGTTGCAATCCGTTGTTATGTCTGGCTGCATGATTGAGACTTGTGTTGCGTGTCAAGCCATTCCAGAACCAATTGCGACTGGGCTCCGAATTCCTCTCTTTAGCAGAAGGGTCCCCGCCATGTGCGTATATATTTTTATCTTCTGATGAGTGTCCATTGGGCACTGTGTGCAACGTGGATGGCACTGACGTCTCGCTGGAAACCCTATAATGCCCTTGCTGGTTTTCATCCAGCATTGGTAGATTGGCTTGACGATGCTTAGAAGGTGAGAAGCCGCCCGGACTTCTGCCCTTTTTTGGTAAAGTGTACAGCGATACAGGTTCCGGCCCACGGGTTGAGAATGTTGACATCGACGAAGATGGTCTGCGTTCCAGTGTACTGCGTGCCCTAGTAAGATTGCCTTCCATGTTCTGCTTTGCGTTAGCAGAACTTCTCTACAGACCCTCAATCCATGCCAGGGCTCACCGTAAGACGCTTTTTTGCATTGGCCAGGATCTCCTCTGCCCTTCTGGTCATTGCGGCGTGCGAATATGGGTCATCCTCATCTTCTTCCAGGATCGATGGAGGACTGTAGATGCTATCTCTCGTCTCGACGTGATCATTGTCCTGCGCAGCAGCCTCCGCGTAGCCATTCTGCCCTTCATATTTATGGTCCTCCTGAAGTGTGGGTGACGAGGCCAGCGCGGCTTCTTCTTTTGGTGTAGCTTTCCTATCGTCTCTCTCTGAACCCGATCTCTGTTTAATAGACCCGTCATGGCGGCGCAGAATTCCATTCCTGAATGGGCTAAACATTGTGCCCTTTTCTCGAGGTCTGTCGTCGGGCACTGAGTCAGACGTGGTATGCTGATAATTGATTGGCGGTAAAGAAGGCAATCGCTGTGGTCTCCTGGGAGTGGATGGGGAGGAATCGGCAGAGGAAGGAGGATTATCGGGCAATATCATATCGGGATTCGTGAGAGTAGGCGACAGAGGAGCTAGGATCTGCATGTTAAACGGCTATCGCGCATTGACTCTTTTCGAGGAGTTTGCCCTCTTCATGAATCATGCATGCCAATAAGCGCAATCAAGCGTCACAAACATCCTCGTATCCGGCAAATAAATAAGCTTCATGATGGTTAGACTGGCCGATAGGACTTGAAAGACTACCTATACGACAAGATTGATATACGTATATACATATAAACAAGCAGAAGGCATCAAGGCTGGATGGTAAGAGGGTTGTTGTATACAGTGGGGAGGAGTGTGGATGAGCTTGAAACAGGCCAGCGCGTGATGGTCCTGCTGAAATTAGTGAATTTAAAGCGCAAGGCCGGCCATTTATGGCCATGCGGGCGGGAGCGATCCCTGCTCAATCCCTTCTCTAGCGGCAACTTCCGTTGCCTGAAAGGGTTTAGCTGCGGACGCCGGGCCCCTTGTCGAAACACTGAAGCAACGACTTGCATTGGCTCAATGCAATCCTGGGACTGATAAAATGGAAGACGCTCGAGACAATACTTGGTGCTGCAATTATTTAAATCATTGGCAAAAGGATCAAGCAGCAGCAGCAGCAGCAGCGAGGAAAGAAATCACGAGAAGAGCACGCACAATGATACTGGAAAGTAAGGACGGCGAAAAGTAAAGAGATACTGAGCCAATTTTGCGGACATGTGCTCGACAACTGAACGACTGATTTGACAATTCGTGCCCTCACTATATATAACTTTTATGAAATCCCCCCATTCCTCGCGGCCAAAATCCGGCTAGTCCCTTGCAGGATCCGAGCATGAGGTTTTATCAACATGACGGCGATGTCTTGTTTCCTCAACCCGGTCGTTTTCATTTTTAGTAACATATGGGAACATCCCTGCAAACAGTCTAACACAGTCATGTTCACAAGCAATCAGTCGTAGCGAGGACCCCTTCTGTTTTTCAAGCGAAAAATGGCCCCGTATACGAAACTCTTCCAAATATCTGACCATCCACTTCGAACATTCTCCACGCCAGAATTGAAAAGACCAGTGCAGCCCCCGTTGCGGGAAGACTAGTCGCGAAATCTTTATAATAAGCCAACCAATTCGAAGAATCACAGCGCCTATCGAAGCAGAAAGTCAGATCCACCGAGCAGCTCTCAGCTTATGTCCCTTTTCAATCCATACTCCGTACCCTTCTCCCTCTGCTATATCACCTCTCCTAATCCGTTCTGGAAAAATCCCTTCGTGAGGTAGTTGCTTTACCCAGCGAGCTTCAGAGAGATATGTCTTTTCTTCGAAGAAATGGTTAAAGCAGAGCTGCTCCGGCATACGGGGCTGGTCGAACTGCCATTACCATTGCGCTTGGGGATCATGCTGGTGCGAAAGTGTACACGTCCAGCACTCTGCCTCTCGTCGTCCTCTCGTCGTGCCCTCCTGAACCACAAAAGACCGCCGTGTTCCTCATCTTTACCCAACCCTCTATCCTTCGTCCACCGCGCAGTTCTGCCAGCATTAGTTCACGGGTGGACGTTCAGCAACCCACCCCACCACGGTACGATCGACCCTGACCACGCGAACGGGCAGTGGCATACTGGCTTGCTGGTATGCTCATGTGATCCGCCCATCAACAATGCTCCAGTCACTGCCACCCTGCGCACCCCACTGCCTCACCCTCCTCAAAGGCGCCATCGCGCAAGATCGCATCGGTCACATCCCCGTCCTCGACAGTAATGATTTTGGCCATCCGAGTCCGATTTGATCTTGAAGCCCGATGGGTCGGCGCTCTCCGCGCTCCCGTTCTGCACCGTATCCGTAGACCCGCGGTCCATGCCTGGTGCACCGCTGGCACTGCCGTCGTCCACCGCAGCTTCGCTTGCGCTCGGCATCGTGCCTCTCTCCGATCCGTGGTCCATCCCTGGAGCCCGTATCAGCTTGTGAGTTAAGAGCTGGCGGATTGTGGACCGGATAATGATGACGTACCTGGGTGCCGACGTTGTGCTCGCGTACGCGCTGCGCATGAGGGCTGCGAGATGGATTCGTGGAACCGAGTCGGTGTGCGGGGGATGGAGGCTGAGCGCGGAGCGTGCGAAGAGTTCGGGCAAAGCAAGCCATCGAGGCAGGCTTCTCTGCTATCGTGTGTATAATCAGGAAAGACTACACTTGCTTTCGGATGTGCCGAAGGTGAGTGTGAGACAGATGACAAAAGGATGAGAAGCTCGAGTTTCACTCGAGCTTGGTCCACTCCGAGAATTTCTGAGCCGCGAGTTGTGCAGGTGTTTTGCTGATTCTCGGTCCGGACTGGCCGCTGCTGGGTGATGCTGCAGTGGATGTGGGAGCAATTGAAGCAACACGCTGAAGTTTTCCCCAGAATTGTACATACCAACAAAAGATCAAACCCATGAATGAATGAATGTTGTATATATGTATAAAGAAAGAAGAAACGCATGAATGATGAAAAAAGCCGAAAGAAGATGAGAGGTTGCAAGGGATGATACACGCCACAACACCGCCGATCCCACAGTTCTTCACCACCCCCGTCCTCGCCGTCACATTCTCCATCTCCCATCCTCCTCCATTCACCCCCCCCCGCCTTCGATCCACAACCCTCCGATCCACCCACCCACCCACCCCAATCTCCCCTCCCCACACTCCAACCCCCAGACGTCGGAAATCCGCACGGTCCGATCCCGTGCCCTCCTCACTCTCACCCGCCACAGCATAGAACCACCCAAGACCGAAAACCCAGCCGCGAGCTCGCGGCCCACCACCCTTCTTCTTCTCCTTCTCAGCCTGAGCTACCCGTCATCTTTCCGAAAACGTTGGACTTGCTCGGATGGAAGCCGGGCATCGCGGCGCTCGGAGTCGGTCATGCGACTCCGGTGAAACGGGGTGGTGTTGAAGGGGCGTGGCGTCGATGGAAGCGGAGGGAGATGCGGAGGCGGTTGAACGCTTTGGGATGCGGATTTCTAAGAAGAAGAAGAAGAAGCAGAAGGGAAAAGGTTCGGCGCGGTTGGAAAGAGAATGAATACGTTGTGCATACTACCGACCTTTCTCCAGTAAATGAGAGCGCATGGTTCCCTTTTGTACCGCGCCCGCGAGGACAAGGACCCCTTTCCTCTCCTCTCCTCTGCTTGGCTTGGCTTGACTCGGCTTGAGAGGCATAAACTCCCCGCACGGAGTACTGGCCAGGCTTGTTTTTGAGTTCCGGTTCCAACACCGTGGCGCGGGTTCGGTGCAAGGTGGTGGAAAGGGAGGGTATAAAGACTCAGGAGTTGCTCGGTGTGTCGGCTTTCAGGCATGGTGTGGCTGGTGAGATGGCAGTGTTGGAGGATGATGGTGTTTGAAAGGTGTTGTTCCGATTGATTGACAGGGTAGATTGCGTGGTAAGGAGCTAGGGAAGTGAAGTGGAGGTTTGGATATTGACGATTGGGAATGTGTAATGGAGAGGTTGGAATAGGTGTTCGGTGACAAGTTTCAATGGCCTGCAATCCATATTGGTCACCACTTTTTGGAATTGAAATGCTCAAACATGATGGAAAAAGATCGCTTCACAGGCAAGAAAGCCAGATTTGATGACAACTTGTTATAGCGAAAGTCATGTTGATGGCAAGTTTGGAGTGGAAGCGATCCAGATCGTTCACCACATGTGACAAAAAAGAGCTCAAGATTGATCATCATCGGTGACGTGTTATGGCTGGAAGCCATACAAACGACAAAGTCTGATGGATCGTACACGCATATTGCTAGCCACTCTTGATGAGCACAACCCAAATCGATCACCAAACAGAATAGACAAGTCCCGAATCAAAAGACCCTCTCTGGTAACCAAAGCCCAAAGGCATTACCGGCATTGTTGGTGATATGGAAGAAGGAGAGATTCTCTGGGGGATTGAATACCCACAACCGCCGCCGATCTCCACGCTAAAACTTCATATAGGCTGACCGGCGTTCAGCGATGTCACATATGTATAGGAAAAAATAAGTGGTAGGCTGTGAAATGTGCCGGGATTGCTAATTCACGATGATGGAGTGACTCACTCGTCCTGGAAGCAAGAGATATTCACAAGGCAGTGAAGACAGAGAATGTTGTAGACAATGAAGCATGGAAAACGTGAAGAGTCATAGCCAGGGTACTTACTTCCCATCAAGTTTCCTAAGTAAAAGCTGAGTTCCCTTATTCCCGGTCTTCACAGGCGCCTCATCCTCAGACTTGACCCTTTTCGGCTTCTTGCCCTTCACCTTAACGCCTCCCTCCCCAGCTGGCCCAGCCGCTTCAACAAGCTTCTGCCTATTCTTCCCCTTTCTCAACTTTTCGTTCAATTCTTCCACATGAGAAAAACCCGGCGCTTCCAGTAATCCAACCACAACGAACGAATTAGCACCTGTTGCCCAATCCAAAATTTCATCTTTGATCGCGCTGTAAAAGACATCATGGAACTCCAACGGGGGATCTGCGAGGTCGATTCCCTTTTTAGTGGGATTGAATCGTCCACCCAGCACTAGGCTCTTCAACATTCTTCCCGCGGCAGGTGATTCCAACAAAGACTTGGTCCCGTCATCACCTTTTGCCAACGCAGCAATGGCTATCACAGCAAGCTCTCTTCCTCCAGGAGCGCCGAGAAGTACTTCACCAATGAATTGACATCCGAAGCTGGTCGATACCATCTCCTTCGCACGTGAAACTATTAGTGAAAGCAAAGGCGGTGAAAGTGATGCCGCCAGCTCTTTCCGCCTGACCTCGGGATCCTTCTTCGATGTTGTACTCCGAATCCTATGGATCTCATCGAGTAGCTTCAGGTCCTCGTTCGGCAGAATCGCCTTCGCTTTGCCGCAGAATGGGTACAGAGCCGTCACACGTGCATTGAGATGGTTGACAGCTTGTAGTAGATCCAGCTGTTGGCTCTCTGAGAGTGGTTCTTTGCCTACGAGTTCGGTAAAAACGGATTTGGAGACTAGGACTGTATCGTCGATGACATCGTAGGCGGCGAGAAGGACTTGATGCCCGTAAGCGTCATACGCCAGTGTCTTCATTGTCTCCTTGTACGTCCTGAGGATTTGTTTTCGGTCTTTCGCGTTGCCGTATGCGAGAACCAGGCAGACGAGACGAGCGCCAGATTTAGTAAAGGCAAGGTTCTTGAGTAAATCACCTTCTTCGTCACCCTTCAAGAGCTCGATGAACTCGGTAGCTTCTTCGCTTCCGGGCGCCAGGTTGAGGAACTGCTGGAGCATAGCGTCGTGGAGCATCGTAAAGCCTGTAGTCTTCTTCTGCACAAGTAGGTTGATTAGGTCATGTAAAGATCGCATGATAGGCGTCCTTTTCTCTGGATTGTCTTCAAGTAATTTCTTCAAGTCTGCGGATACTGGGCCAGCCTCGCTGGACTTGAATAGAGCAAATTCGGCGCCATACCACTCCCGTAGCAGCGTAGCCTTCTGTGAAGGCGTTGCAATACCGCGGTATATATCGTCCAGTATCCAGGAAGCTTCTGAATGTTTGATCATACGTCTCACGTGGCCATAAAATTCCGGCACGACCATGTCCCTAGTCTCCTCGTCGCCATGTACCAGCATTTTTCCGATCAAGAACTTTGCGTATTTACTCTCAGCCAATGTCTTATACTCCCCCTTCAGTTCCCTCGCTATCATCTTCCGCTGATCAATGTTGGCGTATTTGAGAGCCGTTTGGATGACCCTGACAGAGTCGTGCTTGAAAACAAAGTCTTTGACTCGCCCGGTAATTATGTCGAACAGCTCTGTGACCAGGCCTTTTCTTTCCTCTATTGGAACATGAGATTTTCGCCGTAAGCGCTCCCATAGCTTCTTCGAACGGGCTATTGAGTCCGCGTTGGGTTTGGCGGCTTTGCGGTCTTGCTTTTCGACCTTTTGCTTTGCGTGTGCTTCTTTAGATGTATTTCCTGCTCTGAAATCAGCTACACCCAGCCAACTGTGCTTTACTTGACGTGCCTGATGCAGTGCCATTTGCATTAGTGGGCTTCTTCGCTGACTGCGATGCACCCGCTGCCTCTGCAGCGATCTTCACCCCTCCATCATCGTTGTCCTCTGCAACTCCAATACCTTCCCAAATTTCGCCCTCCTCATCCCCCTCTTCTGACGGCCAGCTAACACCATCATTGTCGCCACTTTGCGACGTAGTGTCTGACTCCACTAGAGGATCGGAATCCGTGGCGGTCTCTAAATCTTGTACGCGTTTCGAGCTCTTCGCTAGCTTTTCTTCCTTCTTCGGCTTTTTCGGGATACTGCCGGTAGGAAGCTTTGAATTGGGGTTCTCTTTGCGCTTTGAAGCTGCCATTGCGGGTTGTAATGTTTGAGGGAAACCCTGGAGTGTGTAGGATATTTTTCACGGCCCTCCCGGCAAAAGTTGCCGTTTGAGATTGCGACAGCCAGATCCACAAAATTATTTGAGGTCCAAGATGGCAGGTTTACAGCATGACCACAAGGCAGGGCAAGGTTCCAAAAGTCAAGAACGGAACTTAGTATTATCATTCGTTCTCTTTCCGATGAGGCGGCTAGCCCTACCAACACCGACACCTCGTGCTCTGTTGGAGCCTGCTCCTCATATATAACATCGTGCAACTCGTTAGATATTACCACCCGTGGCCTCGCAGCCGTATGTTGTGTGTAACGACAGGATCTCCAGATTGTAGGCGTCCAGAAACACCGAACGCCCTCTCGTCAGAATGCTCCAGTACCCAATGCGAAGCAACACGATCGTCTTCCATTACAGCAGAAGCCTCCTCCGATCTCCCACACTGACCATCTATCTAACGACTCCATCATCGTTCCCATTGGCAATCGGCCGATCCATGTTACCTAGCTCGGCACCTTGACCAACACTCTGCCCACGCTTCCTGCCTGGAAGATGAAAGCCTCTGTGACTCGAAGTTGGTCGAGGAGCATCCCCCGTCACTGGCGTCTCAGAATTGTCACCAAAGCGCGCGAAGATGCTCTTTTTCTTCGGTGGTTGCTTTCCTTCATCGTTGAGTCCAACATCCTCGAAGCCTTCTTCGTCCTCGGTTGTGGGCTCAGGTCGAGAGAACGAGTCGGATTTGACTGCGGAACGCGACGGACGGGACATTGTGGAGTCTAGGCTTTGCCGTGCGGCGGTAGACTCGTGTGAGTAGACTGGAGAGCGGGCGGAGATGTCCTGCAGAGATTACTATCAGCCATGATGTTTTAGGTCGGTGAGGTGAATGCTTGTCTTACGAACGATCTGCGATATGAGTCGAACGATTCGCGGGAGATAGAGAAAGGTTCGTTTTCGTTGAGCATGCTTCGGTGGTTGGAGGACATGGTGGATGTGGGTGATTTCTGCCAAAAGCTCTTCTTTTCTGGCGGCGAAGGCTATTGCATTGATTAGCGCCATTGTGCTAATCCAATAGCGTGAAATTCTTGGGCATGACCTACGGGAAGATAGACACCACTATCGTTGACAACTAGATGTCTCGGATCAGCTCGGTAGTCCAGTGTCACGCGGGTCGTAGAGTGTTTGGGGCCACACACCGCTCAATTTGTACTCAGCAGTCTCCTCCTTCCTTGGTTTAATGCTCAATGATGATGAAGCTCTTGAGCCAGTGTAGCTCGACTTCTCCGATGCATGGTCACCACGAACGCCAAGGGAAGGCCTGACATTCTCGTCTGCGATGGTTGGCACGCCATTGACGACCGGCGGCTTTTTGTTGAATGGATTGCGGAATGGAGGCATGGTGATGGAAGTTAATATATACAAACGATGCAATGGCTTGGCGATATAGAGTATGCGTATGTTAGCAATCGCAGCATTGATGTTGTGGCTGTTCTCGTTGTCTGTCTTGGAGGTTATTTTGAGGTGAGATCTATGACGGCAAAACGGATCTCGGAATGCAATTGACCGAGCTAAAGCGGGAAGCCGCGAGCAAAATGCATGGTCCTTCTGCCTTCTCCTCTGCCACAGTCTCTCTTCTCAATGTCGTTGCTGCCATCCTCGATTGATGCGTTAGTCTAGTAAACTATTGGAAGCTGAAGTTTGTCTATGTACGGAGAGAAGCAGGAATTGCAGTAAAGGTCTGGTCCTGCTGCTTTTCTCCACAATATTGCCACAAATAGCTACACGCTAAGCAGCGGGTGACCGACGCGCCATCCCGCTTGGAACCGCTTTAAAATCCTTGAAACCTCGTCATTGCCCATTTGTTAACGCTTGGAATTTGATTTGACACACTAATGGGGACATGATAATCATAAGTAGAGGACTCAGATGGCATCAGACATTCTGCAGTAGCATGCACAAAGTACTGGTAGACCTTGGGGTCTGTCGCAAAGAAACAGGTACAGGCGCCAAAAGAAAAAGGGTTCTGGTTTTGCCGTGCATTGCATGCGCCCAATTGTGCCGAAAGCCGATAGGATGAGATGCTGCAGGGAATTGGAGATGCTCGGGCGTGCTTACTCTATAGGTGGGGTAAATTCACTGACTACCTTACCCTTAGCAGTCTTAGCTTTTACAATCGGAGTATTTCAAGTGACAATTGATTGGAGCTTTGAAAAAGGCGAAGAATGAGATCCTGGCATCGTATCATACTAAGACTTCTAAGACTTCTAAGAAAGGAGATGGCCAGCGCGTAGAAATGCATACTTACGTATTCTCTAGCCAAAACAGGATACCCACTCAAGCAAGGCACCCCGTTTTACTCTGGGCCCAGACACGCACAAACTTTGCATGCTGCGCTTAACACAACGACCTCTTCCCATCTCTCTTTTCTCTTCACCTCGTCGTCATCAATAATAATGCATGGCCATACTCATTCCATTTAATGATTTCTGAATTGCCTACCTTTGAGAACCTTCAACTCCGACGCCGGCTCAGGTCCTACCTCACCAAGTCGTCATCATCACTCGCTTTTTCTTCTCTCCTTCCACCATCATCAACACCACTGCCACCACGACGGTTGACTCACACTTCTCCTTCCTGCCGCAGTCACTCCTTTCAACCCACCACACCTAACATGCCACCGTATCTACGTTAATCTTGCACAGAAAAAACGACGACAAGCTCTGGCAAGCTCTGGCAAGCTCGCCGGCTAATCAAGAAAAGACAACGTCACAATGGGGAAAGCCTTCTTCACATCATGGGTACTGTGGGAGAAGATGGTCTTCGTGAGTCAAACAAAGCAAGACCACCTACAAACTGTACTGACTAGCTCATCCCTCAGATCCTCGGAGCTTCCATCGTATGCTGTCCCAACCCGATTTCGCGAACCAGCACGAGACTGACTTGCACAGCTCCTCGTCATATTCCTCGGGCTCATCAAGCTGACCTACAACAAATGGAGACTGCGCAAATACACAGCCGTCGCCGAGACGAAGGCGGCGGTACGGCGGGAAATGCAGCACACTGCCAGCGTCAAGCGAGGCCGAAGTCAGCGTCAAGGGATCCCGTTCGGGATTCGAGCGCTGGAAAGTGGCATTGAGGTCGATGGTGTTTGGATCTCGGGAGCGAACACTCCAAGCAGCATGCCTGGCAGTCCGAACATTGCCGCGATGAAACCGAAGCCAGCCCGCCAAGACCACTCTCCCGAGGCATCATCGTCAACCTCGGAGATGTCACGCATCGAGATTCCGCAGCCAGTCCATGGATATCCTAATAACCCTAGAATGAATCATTCAGCTGGCCCCTCGTACAAGCTCCCCACCCCAATCGATCGACCTGTGGCATCAGAGCAACAACACATCAAGCCACCGACCTCTGACCATCAAAGTCATGGTCGCCCCACCTATCAGCCTCGTCGCTCCTCGCAGTTGAGATATAGCGACTCGCTAAACCCAGAAGATTCAGAGGCATTCGCAGCTTTGGAAGGCCGTACAATGGCTGCTGATAGGAACGGAAAGCGCCCCGAAGGTGAGCATATCCCGCTGTGTCTGGAAGACTTCGCGCTAACTTCAAAACCGCCCAGGATCCGATTCGTCAGGTGAAGAATATCGTGACTCCACATCGTGGCCTGGCCACTCTAAGAACTCATCTGGCAGCGAGAACCATAGTGACGCGAACCAGCCGATCCAACCCAAACGCTCGTCCAACAGTTATCTTCATCCTGCATCTCGCCAGCCTGCATCTCGCCAGCCTCCCAAAATCCGGACCTCCAACTCTTACAATCCCGACAGATACAAGCCTGTTCAGCTTGATCCACTTGCAAGCAATACTGAATCACACATGGACGAACTAGGTCGACTGCACGTCCGAAATCGAGAAAGCGGGATGACTGTAGTCTATGCGCCGGTTGAAGATTCTGTCTCCAGGAGGATTGCTTCGTCCCAGGGTCCGACCCACGAAGTCAGCGATCCATTCGCCACCCCCGAGACCTCGCCAAAAGAGGACCGCATTCCAGTCATGGTAGACGCTCCGCCTGCAAATCAGCACTCTGAGATGATCGGCAATGGCGACATTGACTATATCCAGGGCCATGCCCAGCCCTTGCGACCCTTCGATGGCAATCGACAACTAAGACGGTCTCAAGTCATCCGTAAGGTCAATTCAGGATTTGAAATTCTTCGCCCTGGCACTTTAGTTACCCCTAGACGAAGCAGCGACATTGCGGACGTGAGGGAGGACTACGATCGGAAACCCAAGAAGCTGCAAAGGCGGAGCCGGGCCTCGAGTTTCGTTGAAGATGTATAGGAACTTGATCCAATGACTGGAAGGCCGTTCCCCATCACTGATAGTATTTCCTCAGGGCGTTTGGTATTAGAATGGAGTCGAAAAGCGCGAGCAATTAGGCATGCTTAATGAGCATTCATCAAAAGGCGCACCGGTATACCACAAGCTGGTGGTTGACAGTTGCATGCGAAGGATTCGGCATGCGCATCTCGACAAGTGGTCTGTTGCTAAAATACATTCAGAAAGTAACAGAACACTGGGGATTACACCGCTTGCTTGGTGGATGGCATTGACCCTGTAACAGTAAACTTAATGACTAAAAGAGCAGTTGACGATATACATGAGCTGCTTGATCTCTGCTATAGCACTTTAAAAGTTATTAAACTGAAGTGGTTCTCATAGCTTCCAGCCCCTGACTGTGCCTCTCTGGTTTAGCCAATATCCACAAATCACGTGAATTGGCGATGCCAAGGCCTTTAAAGTCGCGTCATTTCTTTGCTTGCACGACATCAATATCAACAACAACAACCGTTTGCCACACTAATTCGAACCCTACCCTTTGCACAAACGCTGGAGTCCAGTGTTCAAATCAACTACGTACGGGAGCAAAAAGACTTGTCGTGCTGTCTCCCAGAACGCTTGATCTCAAAACCCTGCAGTCATGA